AATAACAACAAGGTACGAAAACAACGAGTAAACACAATGAATCCAAAAGACGCCAAGTGATATGACACACCACACATATATACAAACAGTACACACAAACTCGCAGATCGTGTCTCGATGGAATTCCTTTGAAGAACTGTAGGACTTACAGCAGTACGCCTACAACCCTTCACAGGTTGACGATTGTAAGTTGTGGAATGTCCGGACACAAACAAGATTAACCAACAATTACAATAATTGGAACCCGCTCAATTACTTAACACAAACATGTACAATCAGCACATCAATGTTGTGGATTCTGCCTTGACGAACTACCCTCGAAGAACTGTAGAACTTACAGCAGTACGCCCACAGCCATCCTCAGGTTGACGCACGAGGTTGGAAAATCGTCGAAGAGTTCATTTGCTGACTTCCCTCTCTCACTTTTATCCTCAATTCTCAACCGTGACAAGGGAATAACATTGTATCGTGAAATATAGATGACGAACAAATATACGACTTATCTCGCCAACGAAGCGTAGGCACAGACTAATTTACACCAAAGATAATAGCATTCAAATAGTAACTTGAAACTAGAAATGCCTTGGTTCATGCAAGTCAATTTAACAATTACTCTCTCGTTTACACTTGGCTTATCCTGATTAAACTGGCCAACATCTTTCGTCCTTTCGAACGGGCGGCACTAGGATATTGATAGCACAAGACTCGTGAGTTCATGGTCGTGCCTTTCTTGGATTTCAGCACCGACGACGGCTGAGTGATACAAGTTAATGAACTTAGCAGTGCATCAGAAGCTGTTGATTTTGGCTTTTAGTAGGTCGCCTTACGGTAAGATTACCACCAATCCTATCTATTTTGATCAGCCGCGTTTTTGCACCGGCAACTTTTGATAGGTGGGATACACGCTGATCAATTATACTGACGGTCTCATGAGTATCCATACCTTCTACCACCGCATCTGCCTTTAATTCTACTTCACGTTGTAGTTGTACAGAACCTTTGTTCAACTCAGAAGTAGTAGGTATTCCCCTCATCTCATCATGATCAACCAAAGACAAATCTGCACTATCATGACCATTATCACAAATATTCACTTTATTGTCATCTGTCTGGTCGACTTCATCACTTTCGAACTCTTTAATAACAACAGCAGATGATTTGGGTTCTTCCTCACAAATCCTAGAAGGTTTTATACCTTTACTCTGACTAGTAATACCTTGTAAACTTGTGGAGTCAGAACTGAACTCTGAAACTGTAACTGTCTTCTCCTGCGCACACTGTGGTGTCGTTTGTGACACTGCATTCAACAATGGCTTACTGGTTGCAACTACAGGCTTTTTCACTGCACCATTATCGTCACATAATTCGTAGTCAGAACTTGATTACGTTAATTTCACATTTAGCAAACTACTAAACTTGCCTACTGCTTCACAGTTCGCCTTTCTACGCACTTCTTGAAAACGTGTAGAACACAATCGTGTTTGTCTCGCAACTTGTGACCTATCTGTTGGGGATGTCCCACGAGAGCCGTTACACTCACTAAGTTTATATGGATTACTAGACACCATAAAGCTTTTTCGATATCCACTTCGCTGAGAACCTTTCGTCATAAATGATTGCGTTTTGCTCTCAGACTCCTCTATTCTAGGGATGGGATGCAACATACTGGCAAACTTCTTCATAGCTTGATTAACACTATCTTTTACCAGTTTCAGAATATCATCTAACTTTGGCTCAATACCTTTATCCCCTGTATGAGAACTTATTTTCACCTAATTCCTTTGCAGTCGAGTAGGTAGGGGTCTCGCTATTGCCTCTAGGTCTCAACTTGAGTTTAGTTCGCTCATGCAATTTGTCGAAATCAACGTATTCTCGTAGGTCATCAGATTATCCAAAAGCTCAGATATTGCCTTGGAGTCATCTCGTAATTGGCTACCATTACCTTTAACAGCCTCGAATACATTCCTTAGGATTATCGAATGTTAATCTAAATTTTTTACACAGGATACTTTTCGCCTCAATTTATGCTTTGTTTCATGGCGTGAACTTGCATCACTGTATTGCTCTTGCTTCAATACCAGTGGAATACCTCAAGAAATGCATTAACTTTATTTCATCATTTAATGAGAATCCACTCAACGTGATGTCAAACTCTTTGATGAATTGTGGAGACTCGGTTGGTTTTCCATCATAGTACCTAGACTTGAATTTAGGTAAACTTAAACCCTTACTATCTCTAAACGGCGAACCATGAACAACAGACTCATCATGCTGAGCATCATACATATCATTACAATTAACTAGGAACTCAGCATTACTTACTTTCCTGCCTGCTTCCAAGGCGCTTTCTCACCTCTTTGACCCAGGTGTCACTGAGCTTGACCAAATAAACCCATAAAAGTTCCAGATAACACTTGTATGGAGGAGATGGGCAGATACGAGAAACGACGAACAGAAACTATCAGAAACCGTCAGCCGAATCTCAGAAATTATCAGTGTCCAGCTCTTACTACGCTGGACCTCACGATGTCCATGGGGGTCTTTCAGAAACAGTGTGTAATAACCAACGCGAAAAACCAGAACACAGATTGGCAACTCGAAAATCCTTTGCTCTTGCACAAATATGTAACCAACAGTAAGCTTATTACACACAAGGCCTAAGAATAAATTTTATAACAATCAATCACGATAATATTTCTGATAGTGTTTCTCCGTCTTCTAACGAACAGCGAACGATGAGACGATGACTGCCGTATTGATGACTTCCGCGAAAAATATGGAGGAGTTGGGCTTGAGCAAACAACCATGAGTTGATCGTTCAATCTTCAACTACATTTACAGCTGGTATCTTCTGAAACCTTCCAGCTGATACTGGCAGACTAGTCATGACGAAGGTTGCTGGCTGACATTTCCATTCTCATACGAGGAGGTCTCGTTGACTGTCGAAACTCGTTTTCTGTATCCACTAGTGAGTCACAGCGGATGCTCGATGTAGATCGGGAACGGTGAAAAGCATATAAGTTTCACCTTAAACCCGAAATCTAGCGTCAGTGTTCTCTAACCAAACGTTGCGATATAGGGTTTTTTGGCTGTCTGTAGCGTAACAGGGGATTTTGTTCGTTTTTGCTTAGCCTTTTGACTTACTATGATAATGAGTTTTGCTGACGTGTTAACCAAGAATTCCATACAAGGGTTTTTCTTTTACGTAGATCAGGAAACTATTCGGGCACCTCTTCTCGCTAGTCACTACCTGAGGTGGGATCAGTCACTTCCCTGTTGCTTGTGGGGTAGTTTGGACAAGACGCATAGTTGTTTGCACTTTCTTGACCGTGCGCTGAACCTCAGGCGATACCAGCAGAACTTTCCCTTTGATGTAGTTTGTTTTGGACCAGGAACATGCTACATTGTGTGACCTACGTCATCTGCAATGTGTTATCTGTATTTCTACTAGTTGTTCCATCATTGATCTAACGTTCGTCCCTAGTTCTGAGATTATTAAATCTTCACCGATACATAGTTCGTTCTAGCTGAGCGAACCATAGTTCCGGGTGATGCTTATCAGATCCATGTTAACTGACCTTGGCAGCTACTAAAGAATCCGCCTCCAGAGAATTAGAGTTTTCAAACTCACTTTATATATGTTCGGCAAATAAGTCATTAAATCTAATAAAAATATGGAACAAAATATTACGTACTATGGGAACGAATCCAAAAACAACCAAAATCAAAAGAGGTATTTAGAATAAAGTTGACTACACTGAGTGGGAAACAAAATGTGACCAAATGAAACGGTCTAACCAACTAACAAACCAAATTAAATGAAAGAGGTCACCTCAGACTACTGACCGACGACCTGTAATATTGTAAAACACCAGTGGTGTTTATGAACCTTTATTTTCGAGAGCACGGCAGAGGGCAGGTGAAGCTAGGAATACCTATTCAAACAAAAAGAAGCGCATTCAACATTCAATAGATAATAAAGCCTTTTAGATCATAGACAAGGGATAGTTTCCGTTTGGTTTATCCTCCCATCCTTCTGAGTTCTTGAGTCACCTATATCATCCGAGTGGCCATATAATAACTCACTTCCACTATCTTGCATGTGATACAATCCTCTTGCTCTGCCTTCCCTGTATTTTGTCTACTTATACCCTGTGTACCCGTTCGTCCCAAGTGAATGGCTGCCATTCGAAGCAAAATCTGCAAGCTCCAGGAGATGCAGTGCCAACGTACGGAAAGTTCGTTCGCTCCAAAATAAGTTAATGTATCAGCTTTCCTTTGTTTCGAGGATCCTACCAAAACCTAGAGGTGTTCCGGAAACTACATAAAGCGAGACCAAAGAAATCATAGGGTTTATAAAAGATAGTTAAAAATACCAGATATTCTAAAACCAAAATCCATTAGTGGTAGCTTCATGGCCAATAACTTCCCTGAAACCGAAAATAAAAGAGAAAATAAAGTTTCATCACATGCTTTAGGAATATAGTGGAATACGGCGAATCAGTAACGAGGATCTCAGGTTGATAGTGTGAAAGAAATAATCAGTACTGGTATTGGCCGTCTTCATTTGCTTTGAAATCTGATAAGAACAAAATGTGAAACGGGGCGAAGTTAAAGTAGATCAATCCGTTGTGGACAAACGAACCATCAACCAAGCCAATTTAGGTGAAAGTAAAGTAACAGAATAGAGCATCCACAATAAAGAAAAAAGCTCGTGTAGGAAGGTTCCATACAGAATGTTCGCATTCTTTTTCACCATTTCGGTTTCAGTGTGATTTTTCACCTGATATAACTGCCTTGTTGCTGTTGTGCCCTAAAAAGTCATTGGCGCATCAGTTTCGTATAATCTTTATTTTCTGAATTGGTCAAAAATGTCGTTACGTGAGATTCCACTGATTTCTAACCTAAATTTTAACTCTTTGTTTTCGGGAAGGTTAGGATGCGCTCGCTTTTCATGCGCCAGTTTTGAAAAACACCAGCTGATTTCTGGTGTGTATCTTATGTGTGGGTCGATTGTACCTTGTTCAAACATATATTCGTGGAACTTACGGTGTTTCTGGAGTACCTCTTTACTTGCCCTCACTCTATTTACTTACTTGTACCGACCAGTAAAGTTCGTTGATAGAATTGCTCAGAGTATGTAGTGAATATCACTTATTTTACTGATGTCTGATTTTTTTAGTTACCATGTTTTTGAATACTCTTTCACCTAAATTTTACGTTGCTCTTACGGGGACGAGTTCTTTGATATCTGGACTTATTTTGGTAATAGGTGATAGTGTTAGCTCACGTTTTCTAGATTTTTGAGTGGTGGTATTTCAAAAAGTATGGGAAGTCTTTTATTGAACAAATCTCTTGGAATCATATATACCCTCTAATTGGTGGAGGTGATGAAGACAACGATTGTGACAGTGTTGACTCAAACAGTCCAATAACAACTACTCAAGGTTTGTTTTTAATAGGCATATATTTTGTAGAATGTAAGGTGTGGCGAAATCCTTACAGTTTATTCAGAGGAGCAGAGTACCGAAAGTTCTTTCGTGAGACGGGTAAAGATCCGCTAACATATTATGATATGAACCTGTCTGCACAGGATCATCAGACATTTTTCACTTGTGAAGCAGATGCTGGAAAACCTGAGTACGAAAGTAGGTTAGCATTCAGTTGAACCTATTAATAGTAATGCAACTTTCATGGAGGGAGCGCAATCACGAGGAAAGAATTAAAAAGACAAAAGAAGCACTATCAAAGAACCCCGAATGCGCGACTGCTATGATCTTACTTGCGGAAGAGGAGTGTTCTTACATAGTAGACGTAAGTTGATTGCAAGTTTATTCATAAAGTTGCTTGATTGATTTTGGATGTTGAGATGTGATTTCATGTACTAAAGGCCAACCAGGTGTCTATTTTTATATGGGAAATTCAATGCTTATTAATCCATCCCTAACATATTTTCAATTTTTGGGTTTGAGACAGTTAAACTAAGATGATCTACGTAGTGCGAACGCACGGGCGACCTTGAGCCAATCAATCAGAAAGAATAGTGGCTTTTGCATAAAATGACGTTTATTTACAAGAGAAATACGTTGAAATACATTAAACAGGAGTGTCAGTTTTTAAGTTATATCAGTTTCTTTGCACGTATTCATCGAGGTGACTGATGAGTTCCTATCGTGACCTATTTATCGCTCTTATCATGTTTTCCAGTCTTCCTCAAAAGACGTCTGTCAAATTACTATGATTTCCAGTAAGACGATCGACAACTTTTCACTAGGAAAACACGGATAATAAAAATAAATTATGCCAACCCTAAATCTAGTCCCAAGCGTAACCCTCAACATAACCATAACACAACTCTAATCCTCACTAACCCTGATCCTGATTCCAACCCTAACCTTGATTCTATCGTTAATCGTGACTGCAACTTCAACCAGCTATTAACCTATTGTCTAAACAGTACTTAAGAACGAGATTGGGATGAAGTTTGCACTATTGTGGCATGATAGTGACGGTAAGTCTCGTTATCCAACGAGTAGTATGCGTTCAAGATAACTGGAGCGTTCGCACTCCTGGACCGTTATGTTTTGACCTGGCTGGGTCTGATAAAATATATGAAATATCTGTCTGAGAAAAATCAGACTGTGTCACTTAGTATTTTTTTATGTGGATCCGAAAGCTGTTGGTCAACCTAGATTTCAGTCTTATATTTGGTTACTAACCATAACACCAATAGTCTGCTGGTCCGAGATTGTTTCAGATAATCTCACCATCAAGTTCAGTTTTTGCTAAGGAAATTTAAGAAATCTATAGGATGGATTCCAGGTTATAACTTTGTTATAACTTATGTCAAATTAATCACTGTTCTCAGACTTTTCAGGTTATGTAGAATGCAGGAAAGTCTGAAGATAAGCAGATCGTGTGTAATGTGTACTCCAGATTAGCAGCAATTAGACAGCATAAATTCTCATGGACTAATACATAGGGGAAGCAACAGTCTTCTCCCGGCTTTGTCATTGGTTGCTTATAGCTAGGTAATATATTATGCCCATTGTCGTCTTGATGTCGACAGTCATCAGGTGGTGCAATGCCCTTCCTTATGTTTTAGAATATCGCCAACCAGGAACGGTTGGTTATGTATATAGCGCTCTTCGTTCCCCGGTACGACATTCCATACATATCGCCAGTAAACTTTCTGAACTGGCTCAACTTTCTTATTTGAGCACTAAATCCACCCACAAAGATACATTTGTCCATGTTTTGCTTCTGTCAGCAAATGAGACAGTTTTTCTTTAAATTCGTCCTTTATTGTTCCCCAGCTGAATTCGGTGTACATTTACGTCAAGTTTACGAAGAGTCATCGACTAGCGTTACTGTCTTTTCTTATTCTCTTAAACGCGTTCAACCACACCACATTTTTGACTGTTTAATAACGCTCACTCGAGGGTCAAGTTTCGTGCTGTAGTTTTCAAAACAGTTAGTTCGCCAGGAATTCCATCGGAGCTACCTGGAGGAGCCCATGATTTCCTTGGGGGAAATTCTGTAGACCCATTATTTTGCTTTGGCTGGATTGCGTGAAAAAACATCTGAGCCTTATAAACATATCTCAGAGACGCATTATACATCCCTAGCCTGCATTCACTGTGATTTTTCATATCCATTAAACCCTAATTCTTTCTCTGTTACTGCTTTTCCTCAATTTTCCACTTTTCATAGTCCTTTTGTGTCATTTTTTCCACTTTTTTCTGGCTTTGTGTGCTTCATAGAATGTGGCGACTTGCACTGCTGCATTTCTATGCAAATTTCTGTGTTGAAACTCAGTAATAGGATGAAATATGTAGAAAAAAGCTTAGCTGTAACACTCCATGCTGCCACACATAACGATGCAGTGGAATGGAATATAACTTTTTTAAAATCTAACATAACAGAGGGCGGGATTAAATGATAAATGAGGCCTTATTTATTGAATTAGCTGACGATACATATAGCGGGAATAATTCAACGCCTGTCCTAAAAATCTAAAAAATTCAGCTACTTCTGTGACAGATGGGAAAGAATAACTAAATAACTAAAGTTGTTGAATTACATTTGATATGTTTATGAACAATGAATTGTGATCAAAATGTCATTCACTAGATAATACTGTTTGAATATATTATCTGTATTATATACAAATTAACATGGAATAACATACTGTCAATGGCTTCTGTTATTAGTTGATCATGTTATATGCATTTTCACCGTAGAATTTACAGTGTAAGATGTTATAGGTTTCGTGATAGGTGCTTCTACTTTTTGATTTTTACGTAACTTTCCGAATGAAATTTATTTCTGTCTGTATTCTAACAAATAGGTGAGTTTTTAAGAACGTTCGAAAAAGAAACGACCTTATAAGGAATCCATTATTAGTCCCATTGACTGACTGACTGAGTCTCAACACACGTTCAGTTAGATACCGATTCACTTTTGTATTCATTTCCTTATCGCTTATGTTTCTTGCTCACCAGAGAAGTTTATATTGCAAAATTTAAATGTCAGTTCTAATCCAACTAGTCATTTTTACACGACTGAGTCTTCTTTATTTGTAATGTGAGTTTATTGAGGTGATTAATCTTCCATCTCGTAATTCCTTGTTTGTACTAGCCGAATCCTGGTAATTTCTTACTATACCTAGCAAGATGCAGTTTGCTCATTGATCCAGTGAATCAGGGTCGTTCAGAAAAAGGAAAAACATCGTTTCAGGTTTAACTAAAAGAATCTGTCTGTCTGTCTGTTTTCGACATAGAACTTTGCACAAATGTGCGGAAGTTCAAGTCGCCACATTCCGTGTAGCACGCGAAGCAAGAGAAGAAAGTACAAGAAAAGCATAATAGAAACAGTGAGCAGAGGTGTGAGACAAAGGAGTAATAAAGAAATACAAAACAGTTTCATTGAAGATCATAAGTCACAGGGAGTGGATGCATCTGCGCCACTGAGAACGGTTTTGAGCCATGTCACCAATTGTTTCCAACCATAGATTTTTACCGTCCCGAGGACCCCAGCCTGGAAGTCTACACCTTCCTACGTGGCTTAGACCAACTGTTGTGGATTTCATTGATTGATGCCAAGTTTTTGTTTGACCGCCGCTAGCTTTTTTCCAGCCTGACCCTATATCCGCTAACATAGCTCGTCGAGGGAGGCGATGGCTTGGCATACGTAACACATGTCCTAACCATCTCAGTCTTTGTAGCTTCACGACTTCGTCGATTGATTTCCCCTGTTTACCTAGAACTCTACGTCTAACCTCCATGTTGCTCACCTTATTATGCCACTTTACACGGGAAATAGAACGCAGGCACCTATGATCAAAGACAGCTAGTCTTTTCATGTCTTTCACTCTCAGTGGCCAGGTCTCACAACCATAAAGGAGGACGGAGCGAACTGATGAGCAGTACACCCGCCCTTTGGTCGATAGTCGAACATCTCGTCTACGCCAGAGTCGTCGTAAACTAACAAATGCGAAACGAGCCCCTTGTATTCGTGCTGAGATTTCGTCAGAGATCAGCCCGTTGGGGCTGATGGTACTTCCCAAATAAGTGAAACGGTCAACCAATATTCACTACCGTACATATTTATTCAGCTAACAAGTTCTGAAGTGACACCAACCCCCGGAAATAACTAGTTTTGTAGTTGTCAGAGTGAATCATTTTGTTTCATTGCTTTATTATAAAATTTCTAGTATAAATTTGCGCTCATCAACAGTTTTCAAGGTGTATCTACTTACGTGTAGTACACTTCTGTTATATAATATCGTCCATGCATGATTCTCTTCCAGGTAGAGAAAATTTACAAACAAGCTTACAAAGTGGCGGAGACAAATCTCCGTCGTTCTCAACAGTTACAAAATCATAGTCCGGCACATGAATCAATGTATCGCAGGGATATTCATGCATTTGTCTTCATTCGACGCCGACTTGCAATGTGTGCAAGAAAACTGGGCAAGTTAAAAGAAGCAATTAAAATCATGAAAGATGTACGTATTTTGAGTTTTATCTGGACAGTGATTTTGCGTTTTTTAATGTTCATTTTTTTAGTAGCTGACACTGTACACTTTTTCTAAAATTACAAGCAGCCAATCAATTCATGTTTCAGAATCAGAGAGTTATACTGGACAACTTATTATTGGGTTTTTGTCTTGATATTTCAAATTTAAGATAGCAGATGTTTGAATTTGTATCAGTGATTGATATTGTATGGCATTTCATACAAACTAATCAATAAATATCTTTTAAAACTGACTATATAGACTATTATTATCCTGGGTCATTGTGTTTCCGAACATTTCTTTGACGTAAAGGAGAGGATATAGTTGTAGAGTTGTATTCATATACTATGTATAGGAGGTGAACATAATGAACGTGGCAACTTGTTCGTAGTGAATGAAAACGTCGTGTCATGTAAGGTCACTGTTTACAGTTTCCTTATTTAATATGTTATTCTTATGTTTATATCATCCCATTTTTGTTAATCTGTCAATATCGTCCTAGCAGTGTAGTACACTGCAAGCTTACTCAGTAAATCCATCAACCATACATAGAAGTAAATTATTTTCAGCTTCATGTCTTAATCTTAGTCGTACTAATTGTTGTCGTTCTTTTACTAATGCATTAATTTTTAGCTTATAAAAGAATATCCAAATTTAAATTTATTCAACATTCATGAGAATCTTATTGAGTGCTATCTTGCAGCTCAACAGTATGCAGATGCTCAGGCTTTCTTGGCTAAGTACGATGGTAAGTTGCAGAAATATTGCAGTTTTTTTTATTTGTTAACTATATAAAGTGGAAATACTTTACTGAGGTACAGTTGTTTGCATCTGAATGAGTTTCCAAAGGGTAATACAGTTGATAACTTCTTGGGAATTTGATTAATGAACTAATAACAACAACTAACTCTAAAACCTCAGTAGGTCGAGCGGAGTTTGAAGTAGTAGTCCATTAGTTGAAATTTTTGTATTGGTATTATTATTTCCTAATCTATATTTGCTATCAGCCGTATACAAGTAAAATTTACGTTGCTCTTTTGACGAGAGTTAATGCGAAGACAGAATAAGTTGATGAAGCTTTGTTTACTACATTGAATTGAAATTTCTAGACGATCATCCCGAAATAAATTTAATGTGGTTGTTGAAGACTTACTTACTTTCTTATGTGGAGATTAATCTTAATATGCTTTGATAAAATTTAATAACGAGTCGTTAAGATATAACTGTTATATGTCGGTGGTATAGCGGTTAGGACGCTCGCCGACCATGCACATGGTTCGGGGTTCGATCCCCGGCCGACGCACTCCTTTACCTCGCTGAGCCAGAAATAATCCTGGTAAAGAGGAAAGGTTGGGCATGAGGCTAGCAACCCCATCCTGTAAAGTAAACACTGCCACAGAAACTTCAGGCCACTAGCTTGAAGCTCTATGTTCCACTGGGGAACGTGAAAGAAAAAAAGATACAAACTGCTCATTCTTGTTTCAACCGTCACTCAAAAAAGAAACCTTCAATTGTAGTTCGGAAACAGGATAGTAAATTAGTTCAGAAATTGACTATTTTGTTGATGTGTTGTTGTTTTTTTCTACATAGAGTACTTCGAGTAGGTGAGGACATCTTCATTCAACGTTACAATGTTTACGGGTCTATTATGAAATTTTAGATAAGACGATTATACCTGACCAAAATTGTCTATTGTTTGTGAAACTAAATCACGTTCATAATGACATTGTACTCAGATTAATATTTTCAAAGAAAGTAGTCTTGTTTTGCAATCTGCCTTAGTTCCAAACGTTAAAAGAAATTCTTACTATCACTGTAAATAAAATTATGCGAAAGTTACAACTGGGTATGGTGTAACAAACCCAATTGTAGTTAAAATTCTAGTGTAGTGTTTAAATCGCTATAGCTTGATTGTGTATAATTCTTCATTATATTTTAACGTTGGGTGTATATTTATAAGCCGTTTTATTTTAATAGATTCCCCATCCTTATGGGGAGTTGAACTACCCAACTCTTCTGCTGTTAGAGTTTTTAACAGCTGAGTACTATAAGAATTGTCCGCTTGACACAGTCTAAATTTTTTATTTGTTTCCATAATCTCCCGGTTAATTTCCACTGGTATGTTATCTTTGTTTAAGCATTTCCTTATATAAGAACTGATTTACCATCTGTGATTCCAGTCTATACATTAAGGTTGGCACTAAAAATGTCCATAAGGACAATGTGATCTTTGCAATTAAACTCTAAGGCTTAGAAAGCACAACAACATTAAAATGTTTGCACTAGGCAGTAACATAAGCATTCTTATTTCTCTCTCTAATTGCTTGGCGTCTTATTACCTTTTCTTCTTCCTAATTTTCTTGACTGTATTTCTTATATTGAAAGCTTTAGGGAACTTAAACCATCAGGATTTTATTTCCTGACTGAGTGGGACAGAATATCGCCTCTATGTGGTCACACTCGACAATTGTAGATTAGAAATAGGAAGTGAAGTGGTAGAGCACGTTGACCACTTCACTTATTTGGGAAGTACCATCATCCCCAACGGGTTGATCTCCGACGAAATTTCAGCACGGATACAGAGGGCTAGTTTCGCCGTCTGTGGCGTAGACGTGATATCCAGCTATCGACCGAATGGCTCATCAGTCCGCTCCGTCCTCCTTTATGGCTCTGAGACCTGGCCATTGAGAGCGGAAGATATGAAAAGATTAGCTGTCTTCGATCATAGGTGCCTGCGTTCTATTTTCCGTGGGAAGTGGCATAATAAGGTGAGCAATATTGAGGTTCGGCGTCGAGTGCTAGGTAGGTGGGAGGGAAAATCAGTCGACGAGGCTGTGAAGTTACATAGACGGAGATGGTTAGGATATGTGTTACGCATACCTGCCTAGTCATCGCCTTCCTCAACGACAGTTGTTAGCTGACATAGGGTCAGGCTGGAAAAGAGATAGTGGCGGTCAAACCAAAACATGGCACCAGTCAATGAAATCTACAACGGTTAGTCTAAGCCACGTAGGAAGGTGTAGACTTCCAAGCTAGGGTCCTCGGGACGGTAAAAACCAATGGCTGGAAACAATTCGTGACATGGCTCAAAATCGTTCTCAATGACAGCGAAGATGCATCCACTCTTTGTGACTTATGATTTCCAATGAAACTGTTTTGTCCTTCGTTACTACTATTCCTTTGTCTCACACCTCTGTTTACTGTCTCTATTATGCATTTCCTCTACTTTCTTGTGTTGCTTTGTGTGTTACATGGAGTGTGGCGACGTGAACTGCCGCGCATTTGTGCAAAGTTCTATGTCGAAAACAGACAGATTGTACGGTGAAGATTATTTATCGCACAATTTCATATGTATTGACGATAACAAGAACTCGTTTTTACAAAAGGCTTACAAAAGCATGTAATTTATTATCTGGTTATAGGTTGATGTGTTTTGTTCATGTGATACTGAAATCTTTTTCTTTTTAGCAAACACTGCCGAACTGCTGCGCGCACTTCTTATATTATTATTATTTCCTCGTGTTCCCAGTGGAACGTAGGACTTCAACAACACATCTCCATTTTGTTCTATTCTATGTGTCCACGATTGCCCATAATCTCTCATCTCCTCCATGTCATCCTTGCAATTACGACCCCCTTGTCGTGTCCTGTTTGAATTCCAATCGAGCGCTAACCTGGGGCACGATGTCATTTGACCTCCTCCTCGATGTATGTCCGATCCATCTGCTTTTTCTCCTACATATATGTTGAACGATAGGTTCTTGGTCGGTTAGTTTGTTCCCATAGTTGATTGTTGCTAATTCTTTCTGGTCTGTAGTCCACTTGTTCTTGACTATGGACCCAGCGAAGGCAGATGTTAATAAATGTCTGCAGCTGGCTGTTGGAAATGCTCTACGTGATGAGTAGTGCAAGTTTCTGACCCATACAGAAGAACTGATTGACTTCATATTTGTGTTGAAAATCCGATTCTTGTTGTTTATGCTGAATGAGTGCAGAAGATTTCGAAACTGGTTTCAGATTTTTCATGATGTATCTTGTCTTTCCTATTCTGTTTGGCTTTGAAATCATCATTTGTTCAGCATTTGGTTGAAACAATTCTCAATGCGTAGATAAGTCAATGAAGTAGCCTCTTTTAAATCTCTCCCTTTGTTGGCGATTCGTACTAGTTGTCGTTGTTTCTGTTGGTTGGTTATCTTCATCACCTCTGTCTTCCTTATGTTTATCTGAAGTCCCGTCCCTGTTGGCTACCTCTTCAGCCACTGTGTTGATTTTCACTTGCAAGTCTTCGAGTTTGTGTGACATTAGACACATATCATCTGCGAAATTCAGATCTTCTTGAGTCTTCTTTTCTGTGGTCCAGCGTATTCCTGCCTCCTCGCTCCCCACGCACAGCATGACGCATAATCGAGTCCATCACAATTAAGAATGTCATCAGTGATAATAGGCAGCTGTATTCACTTCGAACGCTTCTCTGAGTTTTGCGTTGTGGATCACCTGACACATGGCATTGTCATATAGCTTCACTTCTTACTAGTATGCATTTAAATTATTACAAGTTAGTTAGTTGTTTTTACTAATATACTCACACAAAAAGAATATTGTTTGTTATTATGAAAATCAGCGCTATGCTCTCTAAATGAATTATAAATATTGGCACAATCTGACTCACTATCCACTTGGCCGTATATTCAGCAGTTAGTTAATAACATTTAATTCTGTTTCGTAAATATTTCCGTATTACAAGTTTACTGTAGGTATGAATAGAGAATACCCTTCTCTGTAAACCGTGTGGACGTTCTTACAGTTATTAAAGTTTGTTGTTGTTACGGTAATCACGAAATATGTAAAGAACATACTTTTTAAAATTGGGAAATGATTGAATTTAAAGTGAGGACGTAATCACGCTTTGTCAATTCATAGCAAGACTTACATTTGCATGTCAGCTGTAACTACTTAAACACGGTTACAAATATGTCAGTCAAATTATTATTCATATTGAATTCACTTCCATGGATTCGAGATTTCTTGTGATTTTCATCATCATTAATTTTCAATGGTTACTGGTTTCTTTATTTGTAGATATCAATTATCCAAAATCAGCCACCATATGCTATACTGCAGCTCTACTTAAAGCACGACAAGTATCCGAAAAGTATGTTGGTGTGATAATAATTTTCTCCTTTGTAATTGATTATTCAGCATAAAGCTTTTGTAGATTATGAAAGAGCTAGTTGAAGAATGGGTATTAAAAAGATGTCTATGTATTCGATTGTTCGTTGAAAAAGTTTTTAGTTCAGTCGATTGAACTTCACAACCTCATCGATCGACTCATGGTTTTACTGTACTTAAATAAAATGGATTTGCACCTAAATAAAACTACCGAATTCCTGGTTATGACAACTTGAGACAGTGGCAAAAGATTGTTTTAAGCTGCTTTAGATTTAACTATGTGTTTTTGTTTGAAAAGTTATTCGCCAGGCTGAGTAAGCTGAATTTTTTCATTTAACCTCATATGAGTATTACTCCAAATGAACTAAAGGGTATTTATTCATCTAGATGGCCGTAGCTATAAGATGATACCGGTGATTAGCAACTACTCCGTATCAGTCCAGTCAGTAGTATATGCTTTATCTAGCATGTGATAGGCTGTGTGTGATTTCGAATTACACCTCTATAAACTACTGAATAAATATGGAAACTTGTCGCTCATTGGAGAGTTTTCAAAAGCGGAACAAAGGAGGACAACTAAAATATGAATAGATTTGGTTGATTGTGAATTGACACGTACACACTAGCTGTCAGTCCGTCAGTGGACACCGGTAGGATGCTCGTCAATGACGCTTGTGGTGCGGACTTCGATTCCCGACCGATGCACTCCTTTACCTCGCTAGGCCAGCAATAAGACTGGTTGGGCATGAGGCTAGCAACGCCACCCCGAAAAAATAAACATCACTGCTACTGAAACTCCAAAGCTCTAACTTGAAGCCCTATGTTCCACTGAAAACGCAAAGGAATTAAAGAAGATGTACTAGCTGTTACCTATACAGTCACTATATATATTATCCTTAGCTTATCAAACTGTAAGGTAAATTTTAATGTTTCGAATACGTTTTGAATGAAATAATTTGAAGAGTTTTAATAGACTAACCAGTCATTAATTTAGATGAATTGGAAATCTCGTCAGCACTATACAATTTTAATCTAATATTCTAATTGATGCGTTAAATAGCTCAAAAAATTTAAAAGTGGTTTTCTTTTCACTAGAATCATTTATGATTTAATGCACTCAAGTGCAACTAAAACAGTAGATAACGAACTGGAAAAACACTGTTATAAAACTAATTAAGTAGTACAAGTCACTTTCATAATGAATAGAATAAGATAAAATTTCATATCTAACTCGATATTGATAGTGTTTTCATCCATTTACAATGAAAATTACCAACTGTTTTATAAAAAATGTCAAATTATACAGGTCTTTTCTTCATTTTATAGTTTTTTAAAAGGCTATGCAGGTTTATACTGCAGTCAAGTATGACTACCCTTTGTAACACTAAGAATAACAGTAGTAATAATAAAAGAGGGGGGAAGTCAGCGAAGATGTTATTCTCAAGCTGCACAGTTGCATATAATATATATACGTCGTTTTAGCAACAAAACAGATATTCTTGAAGGTGTTTCACCAGAATTCTACCATTAAAGTAACAGTCAAGAGATTTTAAATTACGCAATGCAGAAACATTAATGAGATAAAAACCAGAGCAAAGTTTAGTAATTAAAGTGAGTGAGTGATGTAACATAATTGACAGGATTGAATAGATTTCAACGAATTTTTTTTTAAAAGTCAAGATCAGTGACAAAATCAGTTCATGCATTTATTCCCTTGATGAATTTGAATAAAGCAAGAACAACAGTGGTTTGTGCAGAATAATATGGTACCATCATTGTTTATTTCGTTGGCTTCTCATCAGCTGCCGCTTACAGCCTAAATAAATTATGAGGTTTTACAAAATGAGTTGAAGTTTATTGGTGAGGAAACAGAAAGAATGATAAACTAAGTACGTGTCAAATGTTGAAAGAAGTAAGATCTGTTGTATGCCCGATGTCTGGACAAACTTTTTTTTGTATGGAGAGATCAGGATTTAAGGTATGGACTGTCATAGTTTCTGCGGTTATAAGAAGTAACTAATATCTAAATGGATATTATATATATATATATATATATATATTCACAGCATATGTTAACTAATACTTTGAATTTCATTTTTTTGTCTAGATTTTCTCCTGATTTAGCATCACGTAGAGGTTTAAATGCAGCTGAACTTAGTGCTGTAGAAGCGATTCATCGAGCTGTTGAATTTAATCCACATGTACCCAAGGTGAGTTAAAACTTGTTCTGTTTTATATCCACTTTGAGTCCAATTAATGTATATGCTTTGCATTCCGAATGCATTTACATTGGAAGACTATTTAAGATTTTGAGATACTAAACAACCGTTCAACAGTAAACGTCACCTGATCGTATAGTGATCAAGTTTAGGGGATTCAGACGTCACGATGAACATTACCATTCATATCAGTTTCATCATACAAATGTCACTTGTAGGCATGCATCGTAAGCTTCTGATTGTTATAATCCCATGCATTACTGACCTGAATTTGTTTATTTCTGTGTTGAAACCAGTAAGTAACCAACATCACTTCTTTGGGGGGGGGGGTCGCACCCATTTGATTTATGTGTAGTTAACGTTTTAAGATTTCAAATTTATTACGCAATATAGACAGTTAATGAACAAAAGGAGAACTTGATACATAACCACATCTAGCAGCGAATTTCACCCTATCAGATTTCAAAGGCTCACTTCCATTGTCTTGTCGAATGTTTCGTAACTTTGTTTTCTTTTTGCTGTGTAGAAACCACTGTTGAGTCACTTTATTATTAACACACTGTTAAGTCTTTTTATTAGGTATTAATAAGAGTTTACAATCTATGAAGAGTTCATCGGTAGCAGAAATCAGATTCCCTCTTTATACTGACAACACTTGGATATTGATTAATAAATATTTAGATTATTGGTCTTGTGAGTAGTTTGGATTGATTTTAATTTCACTTGTTAGAATTCATCACTAACCACCATCAGTTAGAGAGTGAGAGAGGTCATTGAAAATCGCGGAGTACTAGACACCTATTCCATCCAAATGGCTGCTTGGTCTTGTAACCTGAATGCCCTAATTTCGATCCCTGGTTGGGTCGTCGGGACTAACTGATAAAGTGTTCTGAAATAGGGCAAAACTGATGTCCAATGCTTCCTGGTTTTCAATTATCTTTCTTGCCGATGTTGGGTCGCAACGAAATCTAAAATTGCAACTATAACAAATTTTTGTTTTCAAGTAATAACATATAATAATAAGTGTACGTGATTCCTGCGTATATATTTTTCCTATAGCATAGTTATTTGCCTTTGTAAAAAATCTTCTTTTACTGACTGCGTCCTAACCAAAATCTATCAACAACCTTGATTAATGCATCTGACTTCATAATCCCTACGTGAAATCCACTGCATCTGATTTTTCTATTTAAAAATAGTTTTCTTAAATTTCTAGGTCATTAAGTTTCCCATCAAATTTAATTTTTTGTTTTATTTGTACATTCATGTCTTTATGTTGTAACATGCCAAACAGATGTTAGCAATCTACCACTATGCAGTATGTATGCTCTGATGCTTACATAATTGCTTCAAATGTCTCTGTTTCAAGTAATTAACTTGAATGTTAACTATAAAAGTAAACAATTGAGTAGAAACACGATTGAGCATTGTATCTTCAAGTATACCCTATTTGGGTTTTATTTGAAAAAGCGGTATTAAATAAGATGTCACCAATAACATTTTTTTTGAAGGAATAATTTTTCTTAACCTGACTGTCATTTACACATGAGTTTATATTTGCCTTCCTAATTTATTATTAACCATTATTATTTCTAGTAGTACATTTGAAAACAATTTACAAAGCGGAAATTTGGCAAGATTATGTGTTAAATATGCTGTACTAATGAAAGAATACAAGAATGAATCAGACATATGAGTATTCCGCTAAGCATGAATGTTACACGTATTGATGATCAGTGAGGTGTTTCGTCTTATATAGATTCATAAATCATCAACCCCCAACGGGTTGATAGCTGACGAAATCTCATTAAGGATACAGAAGACTCGCTTAGCATATGCCAACTTACTCCATCTCTAGTGTAGATATGATATCGGGCTGGCTGTAGATCAAAGGATGTGTATACTGATCAGCAGTTCTCTCCGTCCTCCACATGGCCATTGAAAGTGGAAGACGTTAGGAGCCGGATAGTTGTCTTTGATCTTAGGTACCTGCATTCTATCTCCCGTGTTAGGTAGTATAATAGGGTGAGCAGTATTGAGGTTAGGCGTGCCAAGGGCTAGGGGAAATAAATGGACGAGATTGTGAAGTTACACCGATTGAGATGGTTAAGACATGTGTTACGCACACCTATCCTAGATGTCGCCTTCCTCGACCGATGGGCGATGTTAACTGACATAGACTGGGTGAGGTTGGAAAAGGGTTAGTGGCAGTCAAACCAAAACATGGCTTCATTAGTCAGTGAAATCCACAACAGTTAGTTTAAGCCACATAAGAAAGTGTTGACTTCCTGGTTGGTTGGGGTCCTCGGGACGGTAAAAACCAATGGTTGGAGATATGGCTCAAAATCGCAGATGTATTCACTCTGTGATGTATAATATCCAATAAAACTCCATTGTTTTTCCATATTACTACTATTCTTTTCACTCTCACACTTCTGTTTATTATTTGTCTTTCGAACCTCCCTTATCTTGCTTTGTATGCTATATGGAGCGAGTGTGGTAACTCAAACTGTTGCACATCTGTGTAAAGTTGTATGTTCAAACCAGTCAGCCATCAGTTTCATAAGTACTGTTTAAATCATCAGATTGACTTAAAGTTCATATCTGGAGCCTTTTTTCTACATCGACAATTTTTTTTTTTGGATTGAGAATTAACATATTGCTAACATGTTTATTCCTTTATTTGTACGTACAGTTTCCTATCACTTGAAACACACACGGAAAACTGCATGTCATTTGGTTTTATTCGTACACACCTTAATCAGCTAAACCATATCCACTAGGGGTGACTTCTAATCTACACAGAAAATTCATTATGTATTTTATGCTTTTGTTTTTTCTTCATTTTTTTAGTATTTACTTGAAATGAAACCTCTTATATTACCTACGGAACATATATTGAAACGTGGAGACTCAGAAGCTATAGCTTATGCTTTCTTCCATTTAGCCCATTGGAAGGCTGTTGAAGGTGCAATCAATTTATTATATTGTACATGGGAGGGAACATTTCGCCTTATCCCATATCCATTGGAGAAAGGAAATCTTTTCTATCCATATCCTCATTCGACTACAGCAACTGATAGGGAACTATTGCCAAGTATGAAGTTTTTTTGTTACTTGTTTCCATGATAATAATAATAATAATAATTAAATGCACTTATTTAATCATACTGTGTGCGTGTGTTTCAATGCACTATCAATCAGTCTTCAGGAATAATGCGAACTGTAGTCATGTGTTGATTTATGGTAGCGCTCTAATGTCGTTTTGAAATTCTTAGATTTGTTTCTACAACCTCAAGTGACTTACTTATTCGATCTTACAAAAAGATAATTTGTGTGTTGAAGAAAAAACCATTCAATGACAATATATACTGTCTGTCTGGATTCAACGTAGAACTTGGCACCGAAGTGCAGCAGTTCGAGTTGCCACCTTCCAAATAGCATACAGAGGTAGACAAGAAGATGAGTGAAGAGAATCAATACAGTCTGACAAGTATAAGAGTGAAACAGAATGGGTAATGGTAGAAAGGAATGTGAAAGATTACAGAGACTGAATACATCTGCGCTGGCCATTGACAACGATTTTGAGCCGTGTCACCTATTGTCTCCAGCCATTGATTCCTAGAGTCCCGAGGGCCCCAACCAGTCAGGAAGTCTGCATCTCCCTACCCTAACTGTCAAGGATTTCATGGATTGATGCCATTTTTTTGTTTGGCCACCACTTACTCTTTTCCAACCTTCACCTATATCAGCTAGTAATGTCCGTCGAGAGAGGCGATGGTTAGGCATGCTCAGAACGTAACCTGTTAACTGTGCTGAACTATATTGCATGTTGTTGTATTGTATCGTTGTTGTCGCTGTTTGCCCTTTTTGCTGTGAACTGTTTTCTTTTTGCTGGTGTTGTTCTCATTGTTTTGTCCGTTATTTTCCGATTTTGAAGGGAGCAACCCAAAAGGTCGCTTCTCTCTAAACTTTATCTTAATGTAACCATTCCTTTCTCAGGCGTGAGGCTAGTAACCCCACCCTGTAAACAAAAATTGCTACAGAAACTTCAGCATGAACAACCTCTTTGCACCAAAAGAAAAAGTCTGTGTGGGGACATGGAACGTCCGCACTATGTACGAGACTGGGAAAGCTGCCCAGATCGCAAACGAGATGAAAAGATACGGAATACAAGTGCTGGGAATATGTGAAAGCAGATGGAATGGGAGTGGACTCACCAAATTGTCAACGGGTGAGTCAGTGATCTACTCCGGTCACCCAGAAGATAACCACACACACACCGAGGGCGTGGCTATCATGATGTCACCAACGGCAACAAAAGCCCTGATGCAATGGGAGGCGATCTCGTCCAGGATAATGACCGCCAGATTCAACTCCAAAGGAAGGAAAGTGTCAATCATACAATGTTATGCACCCACAAACAACGCAGACCTCGAAAAGAAAGAAGAATTCTACAGACAACTACAGGCAACAATGGACAATACTCCAGCTGGCGACATGAAAATACTAATGGGAGACATGAACGCCAAACTGGGACCAGACAACACAGGAAGGGAACTCATCATGGGTAGAGAAGCTCTCGGAGAAATGAATGAAAACGGAGAACTCTTCGCCGACTTCTGCGCCTTCAACGAACTAGTGATTGGTGGCAGTGTATACAAGCACAAAGATATCCACAAGGCTACATGGGTGTCACCAGACGGGCAAACCAAAAACCAAATCGACTTCATCTCAATCTCAAGGAAGTGGAGGCGCAGCCTACTGGACACAAAAGCAAGAAGAGGAGCAGACGTTGGCTCAGACCACTATCTCGTACAAGGGACAATCCAAATCAAATTAAAAGCTTTCAGAGAAACAGGAGCTGCAGATAGACCACAAGCCAAGTTCAACACTCAAAAGCTGAAGGACCAGGCTACAAAGGACATCTTCATTGCAAGCATAAAGGACAAAGCCGAGACACAAATCAACACCAGCAAAGAGGTCGGCGTCGAAAAGCACTGGAACAACTTGAAAACGGTGTGGAGCCAAACCTGCATGGAAGTTCTAGGCAGAAAGAAGAGACAGGACAAACAGTGGCTCACTATGGACACTTGGAAACTAATAGAAGAGAGAAGGATGGTGAAACAAAAGATTATCCAGTGCACTGACGAGCAACAAAAACAGGAGTTGAATGCAAGCTACAATACACTGAACAAAAGAGTGAAGAAGAGTGCCAGGGAAGACAAAAGAAAATATTATGAAACCATGGCAAACGAAGCAGAACAAGCTGCAGGCAAAGGAGACCTCGCCACACTCTACCAAACAACTAGGCACCTATCGGGCAAACGTTCGACACAGATTAAGCCAATAAAGGACGACAATGGAAAGTCAATCACCAAAGAGGTGGAACAAAGAAAACACTGGGCTGAACACTTCAAAAGACTTCTAAATCGTCCGCCACCTACAACGCGCCCAATAATACCAACAACGGAAGCAGAACTACCAGTGAACATCGACCCTCCGACGAAATCAGAAGTCCTGAATGCAATCAAGATGCTAAAACCCGGAAAAGCAGCAGGACCAGATGGAATCCCAGCAGAAGCTTTGAAAATGGACCCAGAGACAACAGCGGACTTGATGACACCACTACTGGAGAAGGTGTGGAAAGAGGGCAAAGTACCCGAGGATTGGAAGAAAGGATACTTATTCAAACTTCCAAAGAAAGGAGACTTAAGTCAATGTAAAAACTGGCGTGGAATTATGCTCCTGTCCATTCCAAGCAAAATACTAAGCCGAATCATCCTGGAGAGAATCAAACAAGCCCTAGATGAAAAACTTCGACCGGAACAGGCTGGATTCAGGAGAAACAAATCATGTATTGATCAAATCGCCACTCTACGGATCATCATTGAACAAAGCTTGGAATGGCAGTCACCTCTCTATCTCAACTTCATCGACTTTGAAAAGGCCTTCGACAGCGTCGATCGAGAGGTGATTTGGCAACTACTTCGCTACTACGGGGTCCCATCGACAATTATACATCTCATCCAACAGTTATACGACAATGCTGCATGCCAAGTAATCCACAGCGGGAAACTCACGGAATCCTCTGAAATGAAGACGGGAGTAAGATAAGACTGGCTGCCTACTATCTCCAATGATTTTCCTGATCGCGGTAGACTGGATAATGCGACAGACACACAAAGGGAAACGAGGAGACAGGCATCAAATGGACCAATACAAAAATCTTGTAGGATTTGGACTTCGGCGATGATATATGTCTGATTTCCCACGAACTGGAAGATATGCGAGTGAGAAGCAACAAGTTGGCACAAGAAGCATCCAGAGAAGATAGGACTTCAAGTGAACATAGAGAAAACAGAGGTGATGAAGATTCCTGGCCAACATCAACAGCAACAACAGACAACAATCAGCATAAATGGGAGGAACCTGAAAGAAACAGCCTCCTTCACCTACCTAGGAAGCATCGTCTCAACTACAGGCGGAACTGACGAGGATATCAAAGCCAGAATCGGAAAAGCAAGGCAAGCTTTCATTACTCTCAAATCTGTGTGGAAGTCAACAGCACTCAGCATCAAAAATAAGATCCGGATTTTCAACTCCAATGTAAAGTCAGTGCTACTATACGGATCAGAGACTTGGCGAGTCATAAAGAGCATCTCAGACAAACTTCAGGCCTTCATCAACAGTTGTCTTCGCTCAATACTCAAGATCAGATGGCCGGCCAGAAAAGATCGGCAACAGGGATCTCTGGCAATGAGCGAACCAACCAGGAACATATTGTGAAACAAATGGACAGCAAGAAATGGAGATGGATTGGTTGGCCATACTCTGAAGAAACCATCAAGTGACATCACTAGACAAGCTCTCGAGTGGAACCCGAAAGGGAGGCAGCAAGTTGGTCGTCAGTGTGGGGGTGACTTGGAGGAGGTCATGTGAGGAGGAGATGAAAGCATGTGGGAAGACTTGGAGCGGGGTTAAAAAGTTGTCGGAAAACAGAAGGCAATGGAGGTGCGCAGCTGAAGCCATATGTTCCTCTAGGAACTAAAGGATACAATAATAAATAATAATAAGCACGTAACCTAGCCATCTCAGTCTATGTAACTTTATAGCCTCGTCGATTGATTTTCCCTCTTTGCCCAACGTCAACATTACTTACCTTATTAAACCATCTAACGTGAGAAAGAGATCGCAGACATCTATGATTGAAAGCAGTCAACCTTTTCATGTCTTCAACTCGTATTGGCCATGTTTCAGAGCCATAGAGAAGGACGGAGCGAACTGATGAGCAGTACACACGTCCCTTGGTTGATAACCGGATGTCATGCCTACGATTTTAAATAACTATTCAGTGATTATATTTTCTGATAAATATAAACAGCTGCTTCAGTGTTCATTACTTTCACGATATCTGATGTGTTTGGATTATAGCAATCTATCAGTGTGTTGTACATCAAATAACATAGAGCCTATCGTTTGCGATTGATGAATTTCCCTGGGAATTCTACCACGATGACTCTATTTTACTGATTCATAACAAAGAACTGTAGGAGAATTTACAGGGTATGTATCTGCAGTTCACTTTGTTATTAAGACTCAGCGTTTAAATTCAATAGATCAAGAAGTGGACTGTACATGAGCTACATTTACATATATACTAAGTACATTTAATTCTTCATTTTTCGATGCCCAATCTGTTTTCCTAGCCATAAATTTGTTTGTTTTTTAAATGCATTTCAACGAGGTTTGTAATTTTTCATCTTCATGTTTAGCTGTTACTTGGGTGATCGAAAGCAATGTGACCGATAAAACTATTTATGATCCCCAGTGATTTCGGTGAATTCTATCCTTTTCTAGTGCCGACAGTAAGATATAAAAGCAATATGTGAAATAAATTCGACATAAAGTTGAGACTGTAGTGATTACCACACATATTTTCTAACAAGCGTCAAGCAAATGCTGAACTGACATTTGTGGTGACACTGAGAGCTTATGCACTTTTATTAAATATTACAAATTAGTTATTAATCAAAACTTTTCTCACAATCTAGTAACAATACAATACAAGAGTAGTATGTGGGAGTGATCTCAATTTCTGTTCTTAGAAAACTGGAGAGTCAAATTAGTTCTGGATATTTACTTTTGCAAACTGGTAACGCAGACAGTCAAATTCGCCGCTTTTTTCGCAGATTACACATTGTGTGGTGAGAATTCTTGTCGGTCGTGTGTAGAATCCCAAAACATTCAAATCATAATGTTATATGCTTAGTGTCTTGAATGGCGAGCATAATTGCAAGACAGAGTATTCCACTGATTGATAAGTATTTGGAAACCGATCACATCAACCAGTATTGTTTGCTGACCTAATCGAAGTAATCGCTGGATAGCAACTTCGGTAGTTCTCTCGGTGCTCGCTATGTGCGTCGGTGGCACAGTGGTTAGGACTCTCGCCGACCATGCACATAGTCCGGGGTTCGAGCCCACGCTGACGCACACCTGATATCTATGGTCGGCCTGCGAATTTCGGGCTACCGATATCCACGCTGAAAATTCCACACTTGTACCAAAAATACAGTGTGGAATCAAGCTGTAATCAAAAAAATAAAATAAAAATAATGAGCGAGTGATGCAGCTTATATACCGTGTTTCCCTAGTTTTACTGTGTACTGATCAGCCACTGAAATACACTAATTTCAAAGGATTGCTAGTGGCATATTTACTAAAAGTAACGAAATAAGAAAATATAACTTCAGTAAGTTAGTTTACATCCCTAAAGAAATATCTGAAGAAACCTGGTATAGTATCAACCAGAAAATATATTTCTATAGATGTGTTCACTGTATCCGAGTTAACTGCCTAACGGACGCAGTGAGTTTTTCCATGTGCCTAATTCTAAATGTTTGAATACGGTATTTTACGAGCTTAATTTTTTTCTTTTTCTTTCATTCAGGTTTCCATACTCTTTCAGTCTATCCGAAGAAGGATGTGCCATTCTTTATCCTGTTCATTGCTGCTTTGTGTACTTTAACTGCCATACTTACATGTTTAACTCACATCTATCCAGAACAAATGGGATCACTTTCTAATAAGGTATGTAGAGATCTTATTGCCTCCCGAGGCGAAAAAGGTTAATGTCTATACAACATTTTATAATGCTAACCTCGTTTCACTGAATTTTACAATATTACAACTACAGAGGTCAGTGTCATTTAGAAAATTATTGAAATTCATATAACAGAGAATTTTATCCAGCTAAATGCTATAAGTGAGTCTGACTCAAGGTTACCCTAGTAAAACACGACAGTCACTTTTTTTCCGTACTGGAAAATACAGGGAAGCTCATAGCTTGATTCACTAGCGATATTATTTATTTTAAAAACCACCATAGGCATAATTGCATCCTAACAACTGCCGTCAAATTATTTTTTAAGAGTTAAGATTTTAGTAATATTTGATTTTTCTATCGATGTATATGTACAAAATCATACATAATGGAGAAGATTTGTAGCACAGGTGGATGATTTTGATGTGATTGTGTTCACTGATCTGAATGGTCTACTTGCGAAAATTATATTGTCCTATTTGGCAACATCTTCAGCGCCTACTTCAACTTCAAGTCAGCTTTTAGATTTCTGCGCCAGTTTACATATATATCCGAAATGGTTGCAAAATTGAAGTAGTTTTAAGTGGAAGATGTAGATAGGATTTATATTCCTCGTCATCTAGATCACATATTTGAATACTCCTTAGCGTATTCCATGCATTTTTTTTATTCCTTTGCGTTCCCAGTGGAACATAGGGCTTCAAGCTAGAGTTTTGAAGTTTCAGTAGCAGTGGTGTTGATTTTTACGGGATGGGGTTGCTAGCCTAGCGAGGTAAAGGAATGCATCGGTCTGTCTGTCTGGATTCAACATAGAACTTGTCACCGAAGTGCACCAGTTCCAGTTGCCACGTTCCAAATAGCACACAGAGGTAGACAAGAAGATGAGTGAAGAGAATCAATAGAGTTTGACAAGTATAAGAGTGAAACAGAATGGGTAATGGTAGAAAGGAATATGAAACATTACAAAGACTGAATACATCTGCGCCATTGACAACGATTTTGAGCCATGTCACCTATTGTCTCCAGCCATTGATTCCTAGAGGTGTGCATCGGTCGGGAATCGAAGTCCGCACCACAAGCGTCATTGACGAGCATCCTACCGGTGTCCACTGACGGACTGACAGCTAGTGTGTACGTGTCAATTCACAATCAACCAAATCTATTCATATTTTAGTTGTCCTCCTTTGTTCCGCTTTTGAAAACTCTCCAATGAGCGACAAGTTTCCATATTTATTCAGTAGTTTATAGAGGTGTAATTCGAAATCACACACAGCCTATCACATGCTAGATAAAGCATATACTACTGACTGGACTGATACGGAGTAGTTGCTAATCACCGGTATCATCTTATAGCTACGGCCATCTAGATGAATAAATACCCTTTAGTTCATTTGGAGTAGTACTCATATGACGTAAATAAATCTTTTTAATGCCCATCCTTCAACTAGCTCTTTCATAATCTACAAAAGCTTTATGCTGAATAATCGATTACAAATTCCATGCATTAACTATTTTATTTTACCATCACATTGTAGACTCTCAACTGGTTTTTCAGTCCAATCAACTACCTATTAGAAAGATTTGAGGCGCTATTGTTATTCTTAGCCCCAACATCTGCTCGAAAACTTCTAAGTTGAACACGCGCAGACATTGACCAAAAACATCTGAATAACTGGAATTGAATAAGCATTTTGTTTTGTCTTACAGATTATACAATATTCATTTCAGTTATAATTAATCAATTACGCTTTTTTTCCTTTTTGTTGTTGTTTTTCTCAACATAGCATTGTTGTTTTTTGTTCTTGTTGTTTTCTGTATTTTATTTTAATCGCTATTAAACTAATATTAATCCTTATTAAACTTTGTTACACTGTCTTTTTTTTCTGTTTATTCCCCTTTTTTGAAATAGAGCTTACGAATAGAGAAAACGGTTCCATTTTCTTTGTCGTAGTATATATATTTACATGTGTCTCAGAAATGCTCAACTAATTAATACTAAAAAAAATAATTAAGTTTAAGAAGGCATACACTCAATTTCCTGAACTGTCAGTACTGTTCCATTCTTCTTCAGTGAAACCAAGCAGGGTGATTTCTTCTGGATCCATTAGATTATTCTCTGCTCGACAGCGTAAATAACCAGCTGCTTGTGATCTGCACAGGGAACTGTTCCAATGATTTTTACTCATGCATTTTGTCCATTCAAGCATTGCAGCTTTACAAACACCACGATGATCCAAAGGAAAACTACCCTTTAGTGGTGGAATAATTTGAGATCGACTAGGTACATAGCCCGTAGAATTGGCTGATACTGTAACAAATAGGCCCATTTCTAAAAAAGGGTAAAATCGACATAAAATGTGTATTTTTGATCACGAGACGTGTTTTAATTGACATAGTGTATATCTACTACCTAGAATAATTTAAAAGCAGGCTAAATTACTTTTGCCATCACTTTATGGCTTTAAATTTATCTAAAAGAAATTTGTGGGTACAGTGTGTCAGTGCTCAAACGATCTTTTCTTATTCAGCTTTGCAACTTATATATATCAGAGAATGTTTTCCATTTAGACTTAATGTCAAAAATATAGTATAAAGCTTCACACATGTCCGTAGAATGAATTAATTATCACAAAGACACTTTATCACTAAAAGCAATCTAAACGTATATAGTTGTCACTATGTAAAACTCCTCATCAATTACTACAGCTGTTTCCGGTATCCTAATGATAGAAGGTATTGAGTAAACGAACAGTTTTCCACTACTGGTATAAGTACAAATTTTCAGCATTATTCAACCGTTGTCAACCTTTATCATACTTGATTCGTAATGAATTTGTTTAGTGGAATCATTTTTATTGGGTGTATAGAAGATGCAACAAATCTACCTTATAACTTTACTTTTCCACAATACTGAAGTTCAATGGAATAGCTTCATCATAAAAGTAAGATTTTCGAATGTATCCAACTGTAATTGCAAATAGCACTTGGAGTTTAATGGAAAGATAAAAGTAGTTTTTTGATAATATTACTGAGAAATAAACTGACTCATACTCATTGTAGGCGATCGTCAAAGTTATGTGTTTGAAGCAGTTACCTTTCAACTCCCATTCATCGTAAGTTCACTTCATCTACCAACCTTACTAATTGCAGACATTAAATGAAATACACTATGGAATAAAAAAGGGTGCATAAACTGACATAGCATCATGAGTATTAAAGCTCAAACAGAATACAAAGCATAACCCGACTTTGTGTTTATAGTAAAAAGTTAAATAGGCATATTAAAACAAATTTATTTATTAGAAAAATAAGCACTTTTATACAATCTCCAATAAGCGTTAATCATATTTGTGTGTTATATAGGCCATAACCGTTAGTCTTTCGTTGTTTCCACGGTATCTGTAAAAGAAATGAAAAAAAAAAGAATTACAGTAAGTACAAACGCTTATAATACACTGTTGTAAAAACTAACATCAAAGGACGTTATACCTTATCATTTCATCTGAAAGCTCCACACATCATCAGTTCAGCCTCTTAGAGACAGACAGTCTCACCTAAATCATGCAGTTATTCTGTAACCCGACTACTACTACTACTGTTTATTTTATTTGTTCGGGCGACTGAAGATGAATGCCGAATAATTTCAACAACACAGATAAAAAATTTCTTTGGGTTAAATAGGAAAAAAGGTTGTTTCAGCCTTTTAAAGGTCTTTTCACGAAATGCATTTAAATCACCGAAGCATGTCTAGATGTTCCAAAACACCTCAAGATAATCAATAGACAAAATGGTTGGAAACTACCTAGGTCTTTCTACTCCGATATGTATAATCGTTGAGGAGCTCATGTAGTTTACTACAAACTTTGGTGTTATCTGCTTATATTATTTCAAGAATTCCTTGCTTATTAATAGAAAGCGCCTAAAAATATAATTGACATTTTGAACCATTGGTTACGGAGGTAGTAAGTCCCGTGTTTGAATTTTACACCCATATTTTACGTGGATATGATCTTTTGGGACAACTTTCTAACATATACAACCAATCAAACCAGTTTAACTAACCAGTGACCTAGCATAGTTTTATGGTTTGGAAGTGCATTCACAGATGTGGTGATTTTTTCATCCAGTGCGTTCCAACCGAACATTTAAGGCCTCGAAGTTTCAGTAGGGTTATTGTCTTTATTAGGGTGAAGTTGCTAGCCTCATGCCCAACTTTCCTTCCTTTCCAGGCTAGACGACGTTTACGAGTGCGTCGGATGCGAATTGAACCCCCTTCTGCATTCTACCGCTGGATCGCCGGCATATATATATATATATATGTATATATATATATGTTTACAGGATTTTCATCATGAGCTGACATTAGTTAGAGAACCATTGGAAAACCTGGGAGTACTGGGCAGCTGTTTCCTCCTAGTTTGGGTCTCTTCAGCAGTACGCACCCACCGAGATGCTTACTAGCGACTGCCTCTATTCAGGTAGGGAGTTAGCTGGGGTTCTAGTGAGAAGTCGTGACCAGTAGGGTGCAGCAGGTCGGGTGTGAGGACAAATACTCGCCGAAGACATTGGCTGGGGTTGCGCTATGTCGTGAATTGGCAGAAGTTAAAATTCGTGGGCCATTGGATCGGGTCCCAGTGGCTTAATGGTATGCGGGCTCGCCTTGTAACCAGAAGGCCCTGGGTCCGAATCCCAGTGGGTACGTACTGGTGAAGAGTCCCAAACTAGGACGAAACGGCTGTCCAGTACTCCCAGGTTTCCAATGGTTCTCTAACTAATGTCAGCTCATGATGAAAATCCTGTAACCAATCAAATCCTTACAAACCAACACTTGAATATATATGTTTGTCTAACAAAGTTGTAACCAAAGAGCAGTCTTGGTCTTTTGATATTTCTGTGGCTCAGTGAAGGCATTTGAGAGAGAAGAATGGAGTTGCTCACTGCATTACACGTACGTGGTGAATTGACATTGAAGCAGATGAAAAGTAATTAGTTGCTCCGCCTAGTAAATCGTTAGTCTAGTTAACAAAGGAAAATATGTATGAGAAACAAGTAGTGAAGATACCTAATTTGATTTATATACTGTTAAAATTCTTCGTCGACAAATGTTTGTCCTATAATGAAAAATTATTGAATATTCTTTACGGCAGTACCAACGGAATACTGCTAAGTAACTGAACAAAATCTCTCACTTTACAAATTATATAAAGTCACCGTCTTTGATGTAAATCACTCATCCGTTGAAAATGGATTAAAATGTATGGGATGAGTGATTGCAGTGTCTGTGACACAGTTAAAAAACAATTATGTATGTATTTTGAAATTTCTACTATTTTACGACACTTTCCACCAAGGGAAAGACACGTCACACACTATGAGCAATAAAGAAGCAGCAACTGGCTACACTCCGTGTGCTCTCAAAATACTTCTGTTCGTCCATGACCCTCATACTTTGCTTTCCTCCAAGTATTGACACTATCCTCCAGATAGTGTGCACCTCCTACATGTCAAGTTCAGTGGAGCAATAGGTTGAGTGTTAAGTTGGCGGAAAAACTCAATTGATGAGGTTTTAAAGGTCCATTGATTCAAGTAGCTAAAGCAATATATTCATATGTCAAGCGACCATCTTCCTTGATGGTTCCTTGAAGTAGAATTATTTCGGAAAGGAGTTAGGAGTGCGTGGTTAGATCAAATCATGGCATTAATCCATTAATTGGTTACATATGGGTTTGAGTCAGGTGGCAGTGAGTTGAACACTGTCTGGCTGGAAATTTTCGAATTTCAACAATAATCAGTATCTGAAGTCTTTGTGATATGGCTTAATATTGTTTACAACGACCCAAATGCATTCAATCTTTGTCATCATCAAGATCCTGAAAATGTTTACTAATCTTTATATCACTTTCATCTTTCAATAATTTAATAATTCCCATTGTAGCATTAAGAACACAATTTTCAGCGAAGAGACTCTTTTCAACGAATTTATTATCAAGCTGTACAATCGTATATATATGGTTTTATAAAGAAATTATATCCGGTGAGGGAATTAGGTCAAAGGTGTAAATACATGAAATAATAATAGTATGAAATAAATTTAAAATATTTGTGATTAGGTTCATAGTTTAAGTCAAGTGGAACAATAATTAATGTCATATATAAGATAATACATCAGGTGTATAGATTTTGGGGAGAGGCATATAATTGTAAGATTAATAGACGAATGTAAAATGTTACGTAACATGGTGTGAAATTTGATAACATAGAATTTAATATTGTAAAAATAAAGATAAAAAGTATACACATGAATAATTTTTGGTTTAAAATGTCAAGTAGATCAAGTGGAAAAGATTCAGAATGAGAGTCGTAATAATAATAATGATAATAATAATCGAAGTAATAAGGGAAAAGTACATAGAATAATAAAATAAATAAATGTCTATCCCTCTACGGCCAAGGCAGCAGTAGGGATTGTACATACTTCTTTTGTACACAAAGGTCTGGCTTAAAGTCATGAATTGCCAAGGCCTCAGCTGTCTTTAGAAGTCTGTAACGAAGAAAACGCGGGAAGTTGGCATGAATTCTATATAAGACCTTGAAATCATGGTCAGGGTTGACCGCGTGACAGGAGTCGATGAGGTGTTCTAAGATAGAGCTTCGCACACATTTCCTTTCTCCCTTGTAAAACCAAGCTGGAATATGTTCTCGTATCCGTGTGGAGAGCATTCTCTGACTACGGCCAATGTACCTTGCTCCACAAGAGCAGGTGAACTGGTAGATGCACATGGAGGCGGTCAGACGGGGGAGCTTATCTTTTACAGAGGTAGAGAACAGTTTGCGGCTCGTGAACGTCATATGTAATCTAGCTGCAGGGAACGTTTTACTAACTGATTTAGAAAGACGATTTTTGAGCATATCAGAAGCTTGATCTCCTTTGAATTCCAAGTTCACGAATAGGGTTTTCTTTGGAACTGAGTCAGTGACCAGTTTAGACTGCTTATCTTTCATGTTGCTGTCAATAAATCGGTTAGGGTAACCGTTTTCTGCGAGTGTGGCTTTCAGGAAGTCCAGTTCTGAGTCGACGCAATCAGAACTACAAATTTTCCTTATCCTAAAGCAGAGTGAATGGATTAAATTCCTTTTCCTGGAAATAGGCACCCAACTGTAAAAATTAGTTAGTTGTCCGTTCCATGTACGTTTCCGGTGGATCGATCTCTTGAGAGATCCGTCATTCCGTCTGCTAAGGCACACATCAAGAAACGGAATACTTAGTTCCGATTCCTTTTCAATGGTGAATTGTAAAGAAGGATGGCAGTTGTTGAAGGCGAACAAGACATCATCAAGAACTACGTTCTTATCGCAGATGACGAAAGTGTCGTCTACGTATCTTTTATAAATGTCAAAATGCCCGATGGTTTGACTAAGTTGAGAATTTTCCAGCTTTGCCATAAAACAATCAGCTAACAAAGGACCCAGTGGTGATCCCATGGCAATGCCATCTCTCTGTCTATAGATCTCATTGTTGAAGGTGAACTGAACATTCAACGTGCATCTCAATAAAAGTTCTTTGAGGTGGATTGTCGGTAAACCTATTTCCAAACCATGTGTATCAATATACTCACATAAATAGCTAACAGTTTCCATGAGAGGAACATTGGTAAATAGCGACGTGACATCTAATGAGAACAGGACTTTTTCTGAGACATTAAAATCTTTAATACTATCAATAAATTTAAACGTATCATCTAAACTTTCATCTTTGTCTATTGTGCTTTCGTTTCACCGATTTCCACTACTGTTATGTATGTACTTTTTTAAATTGCGACAGATTTAATTGATGAACTTTAGAGCAAATGTCTATATTGTCAGTCAGTTGTTTCAAATGCATTAACGCAAGAATTAAATGATTAATCAGGAGGATTTCAGAGATCGTGCGATCGTACGTGGCCATCCTGTAGAATCGCTTATGCAGACCACTGAGGAAAGCCTTCTTTATGACTGAGCTACATATCAATTTCTACAGCCGACAAGTGATTAACAGATGTGTGAAGGATCCACTGCCGCTTTTGGCCACCTCAATGTGTGTTAATAAATTCACCTGCTCGTGTGGAGCTGGTTATATTGGCCGCCCAAACAAAGCGAACTCTTTCCAAACGCATCTCTGAACATTATCTGGCAGGGTTAGCCAAGGGACAATGTAAGACAATTACTAGCTCAATTCTCGAGCATTTGGTCAACTCAGGCCACGTAACTCCACCAGAGTCGTCTTTCAAGATCATCCACAAAGTGAAGCCAAATGGTACAAAAGGCGTCAGGTCTCGGCTTTTGTGTATGGCGGAGGCGCTGGCAATTCATCAATATAAACCTGAACTCTGTATACAGAAAAAGTTTGTCCAGTCTCTTATTCTACCTTGGTCTTAACCTCTTCACTAATCGTTCCCTGTAAAACGTTTTGACTTTTCTTTACTTTTTTCATTTTTCACTTTGCTTTTAGTTTGCCTTTGCTTTAATAATTAATTCACTGTTATCACTCTCATATGCTCCTTCTGTACATTTCACACCCTCTTCACACTTGTTAAATTGACACTCAAATACCACCTTTATTCTCACACAATAGCAAGGCTTCACTACATATAAACATTCGTATTTCCGAATAAACCGATGCAAGATATCCGCTACATTTTGATTAGTAATCAAAACTCAAGGAAATAAAATCTAGGTGTTGACTGAATGAGTTTCAACATACAACTTAACACAGAAGTGAACCAGTTTAAGTTGTTGCAGCACCTCCATATAGCACACAAAGGTAGAAAAAGAGCTTCAAAAAACTGTAATACGCAGAAATATGTGGGAAAAAGAATGGTAACATTGGAAAAAGATGACGATTTAGCGGATACAAAAGATGACAAAGAGTGAATGCATCTGGGGCCACTGAGAAAGATTTTAAGCCATATTACTAACAGTTTCCAGCTGTTGGTTCTTAGAATCCCGACGCCCCCAAAGCAGGCAGTCTACATTCCTCTGCTCGGCTCAATTCGACCGTCAAAGACCGCATTAACTGGTGCTAGGTTTTAGTTTGACCACCCTTAGTTCTTCTCCGACCCAATCCTATATCAAGTCGCATACGTCACTGACGAAGACAGTGGTTGGGAATGTGCGACATGGATACTTAAGATGGCTAGGAAACGTGTGCATGATGTGAATAATCAGAAATGAATATGTATGACAATGCGTAGTATGAACTTATCTGGTGAGTGAACAATGTTCAGGACCCTCGATACATGAAGTAAAACAACCCATGAGTTTTTATATAAGAATTTTCTATGACAAAGAAAAATGTATTCAACATTCAATTAAAACTTACTTTTCAATCGCCTGGATTCGATTCAATACCCTTACTACTGTGTTCATTGATTAATTTGTCTTTACTCTCAAACGTAACATGTTTTTCGTTACCGTTGTTAGGCCTAAGAACACCTCTGTTGCTACTATCCATATCAGCCTGATTTTTTGTTAAACTTCGTGTTATTCGTTTACTTTCGGAATCATTAATCTGACTACTAAAAACTGATAGTGTTAATGGTTTTTCACTAGCAGGTTTTGATTTCTTTCGAAATAAATGAGTTTTCTTTGATGATGATAATTTTTTCGAGGATCTATTTACATTGAATTCATTTAAGTAATTTAGATAACTTGAAGACTCCAGATAGCGTGGATATGAATCTGTTTTCATTAGCATATACACCTAAGAAAACAATTTGAAAACATTACAGACAAACAAACAAGTGGGGAAAAAAATAATAAAAAGAGTACAACAATATATATATATATATATATATATATATATATATATATATTAGTATTTGAGGGCTAGTGTGTTTTCCTTAATCTAGTAAGGAAGCGCATTAATTCGTGTAAAATATGTCACTGGTCTATTAGGAACAGAACAGAGCATCTGATTATTAGTTCCTAGAGGAACATAGGGCTTCAGCTGCACGTCTCCATTGCGTTCGGTTCTCTGCCAACGTCTTCACCTGGCTCCACGTCTGCCCATATGCTTTCATCTCCTCTTCACATGACCTCCTCCTCCATGTCACCATTGGACGACCAACTCGCCACTTCCCGTTCGGGTTCCACTCGAACAATGGCTTGGCGTGTGGTGTCACTTGATGGTTTCCTCAGAGTATGGTCAATCCACCTCCATTTCTTCCTGCTTATTTGTTGCACAATCGGTTCCTGTTGCGTTGGTTCGCTCATTGCTAGAAATCCCTGTTGCTGATCTTTTCTGGCCATCTGATCTTGAGTATTGAGCGAAGACAACTGTTGATGGAGGTATGTAGTTTGTTTGATCCATAAAGTAGCACGGACTTCACATTGTAGTTGAAAATCCGGATCTTATTTTTCATGCTGAGTGCTGTTGACCTCCACACAGAATTGAGAGCATTGAAAGCTTGTCTTGCTTTCCCGATCCTTGCATTGATATCTTCGTTAGTTCCGCCTGTAGTTGAAACGATGCTTCCCAGGTAGGTGAAGGAGGCTGTTTCTTTCAGGTTCCTCCCATTTATGCTGATTGTTGTCTGTTGTTGCTGTTGATGTTGGCCAGGAATCTTCATCACCTCTGTTTTATCTATATTCACCTGAAGTGAAGTAATATCTTTGATCCTTCTTCTGCCAACTTCTTGCTTTTCACTTGCATATCTTCTAGTTTGTGGGAAATCAGACATATGTCATCGGCGAAGTCCAGATCCCCCCATTTTTTTGTGTGAGTCCATTTTGTGCCCGTTTCCTCATTGCCCGTTGTCTGTCGCATTAACCAATCTACTGCAATCAGGAAAATCATTGGCGATAATAGACAGCCTTGCCTCACTGCCGTCCTCACTTGGAAGGCTTCCGTAGGTTTCCCGTTGTGGATTACTTGGCATGCAGCATTGTCGTATAACTGTTGGATGAGATGTATAATTGTCGATGGGACACGGTAGAAGCGAAGTAGTTGCCAAATCACCTCTCGATCGACGCTGTCGAAGGCTTTTTCAAAGTCGATGAAGTTGAGATAGAGAGGTGACTGCCATTCTAAGCTTTGCTCAGTGATGATTCGGAGAGTGGCGATTTGATCAATACATGACTTGTTTCTCCTGAATCCGGCCTGTTCCGGTCGAAGTTTTTCATCAAGCGCTTGTTTGATTCTCTCCAGGATGATTCGGCTTAGTATTTTGCTTGGAGTGGACAGGAGCATAATTCCACGCCAGTTCTTGCATTGACTTAAGTCTCTTTTGTTTGCGAGTTTGAATAAATAGCCTTTCTTCCAAGCCGCAGGTACCTGCCCTTTTTCCACACCTTCTCCAGTAGTGATGTCATCAAGTCGGCTGATGCCTCTGGGTCCGTTTTCAGTGCTTCTGCTGGGATTCCATCTGGTCCTGCTGCTTTTCCAGTTTTTGGCATCTCGATCGCCTTCATACTGTTCAAAAGCAAAAAAGCATTATACGTTATCACATAGTAAATATGGTGGCTCAATAATAATTTCATCAAACTTAATCCATGTTCGAGCAACTGTTATTACATGAAGTGTAACTAAATGAGAAAAAGAGCTGAAGCAGTGAGATTTATTTAGTTGGACAGACTGCTCATGAACGGCATACAGGTAACTTGTAAATATACGTCTACGACCATCTGTATACACGACATGCACAGTATTGCAAATTAAAAATTAGAATCACTTAATGAAAGAAAAGTGGTGTATCACTCAATGTTAAGCAAATTTAGTTACCTGATTTTCAGCCTCTAAAAACATGTTGATATGAGGATTTGATAAACACGATGATGCAGATTTTACAGCCGAATGATCTATATTTACAGCTTGAGGAGAGTCAGGAGTTAAAAATTGGTCAAATATATCACGGGCACTTTCTTGTACCTTCGAGAAATGTGGAAGGAGAAAGGAAACAACAAGAGAAGTATGAATTTTTAAATAACAAGAACATGGAAGAACCAGTTATAAGTTTCCAGACCATAGATATTACGAATATCCTGGAATAATTGGAGCGCCGAGTCAGATTGAATCATTATAAATTATGTAAAATAATCCCGGCGTGTTTAAGGAAGGGGCTTTCATTCATAATAAAGAAAGGTCGAACTGTGAAGCTTTGCACATTTTAACCACATGGAATGCAGTAAAATAAGTGAGAAGGGATAGACTTATCACCTATATGGCAGACTCTAATGAAGCAACTCCATTATACAGTAATATTAACTGATGACGTTTCGAGCACGAATTATTGCTCATGATCATATCAAGTCATTCACACAATATCAGCAATAATTTGTGCTCGAAACGTCATCGGTTAATATTACTTTATAACACTGTGTGATTTATCAAAATAAAATCTTATCTATAATGAAGTTATACCCTGTCACAGTTTCATACTTATATCTAATGAAGCAAGACAGTTGAGGGAGAAAAACATATTCAATCCTACATTGTAACCATATTATAAAATATCGTGTTTTGACGTGTTTTCTACATAACACACACTCACACACACAAACAAATACGCATTTATATGACAATATGATATTAGTCAATACAAATATGTGATTACTATTTACGCTTTTCTATTGGTAGAAATGTCTACCAACAAGTGACCTTCAAAGGAACTGACTTCAATTTATGTAATTTTTGACTATATATTCTGATGGTCAATGAAATCCGAATAATTCTGCAACTGAAGAAGCTGCGGTTTACACAGCAAAACGTTCAGAGAAATCTTGTTTTGATTTCTTTCTTAAATACACTGGGATTCCTTTAGATAATTTATAATAGAAGAACTAGTCTTTACAGTTTTTCTACTGTGCATTAAATGAATACCTTACAGAAGAACTTCGAGAAAAATCATAATTGATATCAAGTTCAACAGATTAGGAAAAGGAATTGAATCATGAGAAAATAACAATCACATTGTACTCTTTATAATAGAGGTTTTTTGTATTTCCCAATGAATGAAAAAACAAAACGAGATTGTTTTTACTGACGTTTCGCTATTTAATGCTAATAGCTTTCTCAAAGTATTATTAAACCGGAATTTACAAAATCTCAGCATATATATAACAAAGAATTAGGGGGTGAGAAAAATATAGACTTAGTTCAACTTAAAAGGACATATTGAAAGTCAAAATAACAATGAAGATCGTTCAAACCAAATATCAAAACAAATACAAAAAAACCTCTATTATAATGAATATCATATACCCAATGCCCAAATGTTTTCAAACCGTTAAAAGTGAACTTGGTTTGGATATACACATTGTACTCTGTTCACGAAAAGTTACTAAATCTGCGATAACGTTAAAAAGCGAGAAAAAAAGGATTTAATTAAGAAGAAGTTGATTGACAACAACATATACGACGAACTGAAGCCTAAGGGATCCAGATTGCCTTACCTGTACGGCTTACCAAAGATGCGTAAGCCTGAAATCCCTAAGAGACCAATATTATCTATGATTAATTCGCAGTATCACAAAGTAGCTAGGTGGCTAGCAGAAATGTTAGAACTAATCCGTGGTAAATTAGCAGTCTACAGCCTGAAAGACACATTCCAGTTCGCTAAACAATTAGAGAATCTAAACATCTCAAATAAATTTATGGTGTCCTTCGACGTGTCTTCACTGTTTACAAAGATCCCATTGGAGGAAAAACTACAAATTATATGTCAACATGCCGAACTTCATCCTCTGCCCAAAAACGAACTCAAGCAACTTTTACTTATGTGTACCAAAGACGTACAATTCCAGTTCAACAACACTCTATACCGCCAAATTGACGGAGTCGCCTTGGGAAGCCCCTGGGTACGATTCTGGAAGATATTTTTATAGGTAGTCTAGAACATACAAGGTTAAAATCCGCAATCAGTCAGACAAACTTCCATACCAGGTATGTCGATGACACTTTCGTTATTTGTAATTCTTTCAACGATGCGTCTTAAGTATTAATAGTCTTGAGCAGCGCCCACCCTAATATTAAGCTTACAATGGAGTATGACTTGGGTATCCAACGAGATAAAGACAGCAAAATCATAAGATATATACACAGAAAAGAGATCTGGAAGGCGGTTTATCTTAACTCCAAAAGCTTCTGGCCTATAAGTTACAAAAAGGGATTGGTGAGAACATTATTTGATCGTGTGAGGAAACCGTGTTCAAAGGAAAAGATTGAGGAAGAGCTATCCATTGTGGAGAAATGCCTACGCGACAACGGTTACCCACAAAAGTTCATCGACAAGTATGGGACACGTCATGTTGAAAAAGTGAAAAGCAGCACAGTAGATAAAAAGCCTATCTTTCTGCAGCTTGCATTCAAGGGTGATAATACTGCTAGTAGAATAAGATGCAAACTGAACGCTGCCCTGAAAAGAACATATCCGGCAGCCAAGCTTGTATGTGTTTATCAAACAACTAGTTGTTTGAGACAATCAAAAGTGGACAAATACCCAACTCATGTTACCTCCAACTGTGTCTACCAGCTTACATGTACGTGCCAAAGCACATACATTGGAAGAACAGAGAGAAGGGTTAGTGTCCGCATTTATGAACACATACCAAAGAACCTCCGCAAGCGATTGTTCGTCATCTATTGGACACTGGTCATACTGTAGACAACCTGAAGTCGTTCAAAATAATCAACAAGCAAAAGAAACCTAGCTTGCTACGCTTTTTTGAACCGACTGCCATCAAACGACTTAAACCAAATCTATGTATGCAGAAAGAGACAGTGGTGAATCTTGCACTGCCCTGGTGATAACAAAAAAAATATACAAATTTCATGAGTCACCTTTTTCATGTTAAGAAAACTACTCTCTCATCTAAACATGACTCGCCCTACCTTGTTTCTTTTTTTCTTTTTTTCTATTGGCTATTAGATTAGACGTCTTCCTTAGTTACGTAATCTACTTTTTTGTTATGCTGTTTCTAGCTAAACCTTGTTTCTATACACATATATCCAACCCTGTTTTTTGTTTTCAAGCCTAATTGTCTAATTATTCTATAAATAGTCACTGTTTGTAAATCCTAATCAGTTAAATCATTCCGGACTAACGTTACTTTTAATTCCTACAAATTACTCCTTATGATCGTGAAAAAGTATGTTCATATCTTTAATGTAATTCATATTTTTTTAACGTTCAGGTTGTAACCAGTTGAGAAGAATCCTCAAAATAATAAAAGATAAGCTTATATTATCCTGGTACAATTGTTGTTCTTGCTTTGTTTATGGTTTAATTATGTATAAATAATAGGCTGTATCAGTTAGCTTTTGGGAGAAAATACATCTCCAACCAAAAATAAATCTAACTACTAACCACAGACACTTCATCTAATCCATGATATTCTCACTATTAACCATAATGAAATATATCACTTAACTCCTTTTTTTTCTTAAGTACAGTAGTCAGCTTTTAAAAATTAATTGTAATAATAAAACAGGTGCATTGAAAACGCGCTGATAGTAATCCTGGCAGTGAAATGTCTATAGGATTTCACCTTATCAAAATTTAAATCTCCTCATGAGTAAATGTTTGTATGAACTACAAACCCGTTTTAAAAGTCACACTAAATACTGAGATGGGATAAGATCACAGTAAGTCATTTCATCAAGTTAAATCACTGATAAACAATATCACGTTTGATGCAACTGACAACATTATTTAAAATACATACAATTGTAAAGTTAGTAAAAAGTAATGTATGTAAATATGCTCAGCAGTGTTAAAACCTTGCACACAATACATACACCTTTGTTCTTCGATGTGATGCAACAATACATGACAAAAATATGTAGCGATAGCTCAGTGTGGTCTAGGCGCTCAACTTTCAACCAGTGTGCTACAGGGTTTAAACGTCACTTTACTTACTGATGTCTGGATAGCCAGATAGTATCATTGCCAACTGCGTGGAAATGTAAGTGAATGTTAATTAACATTTCCGTTCCCATATAAGAAAATAACAAAGCTAATCAACGAAATGGTGTATGTTCTCTAACTGGACTATAAGATGGAGCCACTATTTCAAGATTGTTCAGATAAGCATGTACAAAATCAATCTCAACATTCACTAAGTAAACGCTTAATACTTAATCGGCTGAACGTGTTTACAATCGAAAGAGAAAGTGCACTAAGCATACACAAACTAACATTCACACATAGTACAAATGAAAACTACAGCCAAAAGATAAAGTCAGTCAGGAAGTTGTGTAACACACTGATATGATTATAAGCAATAAGTTTTCTTCGAAACGTCATTCAGTCAATAATACTATATATCGCTGTGTTACATCGAATAAATTTACCTAAGACGCAATTATATTCTACTACAACACCCAAATTCTACTCGTAAGCATTCCCTGTAGTTTGGGAATAATATCCACATCCTCCATAAATCGTTTAATTCAAGTACCTAATGCAGAAAAGAGCGGACATAAATGAACAAAATAAGACCTAGAATTACAACGATTCGAGTATGTAAACTTCATATTTATAAATGAGGTATATATATATTGCCAGTGGAACAGAGGGCTTCAAGCTAGAGCTTTAAAGATTCCATAGCAGTAGTACTTATTTTTACGGGATGGGGTTGCTTACTTCATGCCAAACCTTCCCTCGTTACCAGTCTTATCACTGGCTTAACAAGGCAAAGGAGTGTGTAGGCTGGGGATCAAACGCCGGGCCACGTGTGGCGTGGCTGGAGAGCATTCTACCACCGTGCTACCGACGCACTTATAAATGAGGTAGAAGATAGTAAAAGGATGTATGAAGAATTCAGAATTCTGAAGTCAATGGTTGTAAGGTATGACAAGATAAAGGGACTTAAGAAAATAATTTGTAACAATTATAACCTATGCAAGTGCGAGATCGATTTTGCGTTGCTTCATCTACAGCCAGTAATTATAGATTCTGGGAGTGACGTGAATACCAACCAAACAACCTGCTTTTTTTCATATAAATCAGACCATCATGTACTGATTTCATAGACTGACGCTATATATCTTACTCTGGTTACAATTTTTCTTTTTAAAAACTTAAAGTTGACAAACTGTTCTGTCAAGTGAAATCGTGGCATCTGAAAAAAGAATTTGAGTAATATTCATGGAAATACTCTACTGTATGTAGAGATTTTATTGATGACAAAAGACGGAAATCACCAAAGAAATCAAACCTAATTACTGGTGTAAGTCTTGGAGAATGCGTACTTATTGAATTATGACAGATAGTAACATTTGATTGCTTAAATTTTATAGGTGGAGAATGATTTTAATCCACTAATTGAAAACAAGCTGGTTAAATTTAGCTACAACTAACAGATAGATGTGTTATGGTTTAGTATTTCTTCGTACACTAGATGTCTTCTTTTTTCAAGTTATGAATGCCATTCTAAACAGACGTAGTAATTCAAAAACCATAGAAGTAAATAATGCTGAAGAGAAAAATAAATTTAGTTGTGAAGATGTTTCTATAGAATATGAGAAGAAAATGAAGATATAAGGAACTAGTAATAAAAAACACATAAAATGAAGATGCATAATGGGACATTTTGTTAAAAATAATAGTGAAAAGCATTTGAATCGTGTATATACAAACCAAGTTCACTTCTAACAGTTTGGAAAAACGTCGGGCATTGGGTATATGATATTCATTACAATAAAGGTAGTTTTGCATTTCCCAATGAATGAAAAACAAAACGACATTGTTTTCACTGACGTTTTGCTATTTAATGCTGCTAATAGCTTTACCAAAATATTATTAGAACAGAATTTACAAAATCTCAGTTTATATACATAACAACTGAATTATCTTTCATCAGCATGGGGTAATTTTAACGTTGTCAAGTTGGTCAATCGGTAAACACAAGAAAACCAAGTGTAGATTGTATAAAATTATATAAGCAGCATAGCGAAATTGCTTACCACATTCGTGTTGATTTTATCACTTTCATGGGGGAGGTTGGGGGGGGTGTATTGCAACCAGGTCAAATTCTATTTTAGTCCATCACTCCTATTCAGACAAAAATTACCCCATGGTGATGTACAATACTGAAGTCGATAAATATAAGCTGAGATTTTGTAAATTCTGGTTTACTAATACTTCGATAAAACATTAGCATTGAATAGCAAAAAGTCAGTAAATACAATATCATTTTGTTTTGCATTCATTGAAAACTACAAAAGCTTTTATAATAATGAAAAACAACTGACATAAGAACACAGAACAAAGACAAATAAAAAGGAAAACAAATATAACCTATGCTTAACAACTAAGTATCGCTACTTGCAAATATTTACGTCAAAAAGTGATGAGTTAGTGAAATTCTACTTACATTTCCTAACTCAAAAGAATCACGCCAGTTGCGAACAGAAATCAAAAATTCAAGATTTTCGCTGCTGTACTCTGTAGTCAGGAATTTCTAGAGGAAAACAACAATAAGATGAAATTTAGAGGGGAAAAACTTGTTTCCTGAATATAATATTACTAGAACAAGTTAAAAGCACATAATATTTATGCGTATCTAAATAAACGGCGAAAAATTTGATTTCAGTTAATAAATGAATTCAACAGAACTTGAAAAATGTTTATTTGTATCTGTTGGTTACTTCTATACATGTCATGACTACATGAAATCCAATTTCACCATCAACTTCTTTATCATGATCAATATCTATTCCACATTTTAACACAATAATTTATGCTAACAGATGTCATGTAAAACACTGATAAAGGCGATTAAATCATAGAAAGGGTGATTAGGCTTGATCACCAGTCACTCAGTCGTTACAGTCATGGAACTTTTTACTTTATTTGAAACACAAACTTGGTAAAATATGGGGGCAGTCATAGAACTGCATAGTAAAATGTGTGAATGACAACCAAGTCGACAAACCACAAATCTGTTATTTGGATATAAATCACCTCAAAGCAATTAGAGGTCCACCAAGATGATACACACCATTGATTGATAGGAGTAGTTGAGAACAACTGACGTCAAAAGGTGTTACTTGTTAGTTTGGCCGAAGTGATCTAGGCACTCGAGATCAGTTTGGATTTCTGATCTCTATCTAACCGACATGTCCACAGATGAGTTTCGGCGGGAATGAGCTAAGTAGTTGTCCAATGTTCTTATCGCTTCCAATCAGCAAGCACTATTATTTGACGTGAATAGCTTTAACTACTAATATAAACTAGTAGTATAAGACGTTTGTTATTTTTGTCATTTTCTCTCACATTGTGTGACCTGAACATTGTGGGTTTCAGACGGCAACGCTGAAGAATTTACACCAGCAAGTACACAATTTCCAAATGGCGTTCGATTTAATTTGGGTCAGCCAACAAGCAGTGAAATAGCCTCTTATAAACATCAGTTATTATCCGCTAATCTAGATGACTGTTTTATCTGGCTAACAGTAAGTCAAACTGATTTAGCGGAAGAACAATAATATTAACAACAGACTAACTGATGACACAAATGGATTTACAGGTATAATGAAACCAAAGATAACTGAAATGGTGAGAAGTTAGGAATATTTTTATCATGTTGTGTTTAGATTTCTGAACAACTTCTGGAAATTCTTAAATAATGTTCTAAAATAATTTCATTTGTAGTGAATTTTAGGCTTATTTTCTTAAAGAGCAATAGCATAGTCTCAATTATTATTTTCTTATTAACTTATAAATATAGTCTGTACTTCTCTCAAAGGTATGATAACCTGTCTATACTGACTGGAGGATAAAGACAATGAATTACGTTGTTACATGCATAAGAACTCCATAGTGATAATTTTAACCACGAAATCAGTATATTTCTTGAATGTCGGCAGTGATTTGTAGGTAGCTGCTATCCAAAAGGAACTATCTTATATAAAAAGGCCACGTTTTATAATATCGTCTGAAGTTCAGTGGTGGATAATCTACGTAGTGAGATTTTCACTAATCAGTGAGAATTCCTCATTAGTACTGTTCGTTTCTTCTGTGTGATTAAGGTAAACTTACTGAAATCAAATTTGTCAAAAAATATATAAAAAATTTTAATTCAATGCTTTTTAAAGAACCATCATACAGTGACATACTGTTGTCAGTCAAACTTGATTTGTGAGCTCCCACGATAAAACCCCAGTTGCTCAGAGTGAATTTAAACCACCGTTGTGCGTCAGTGGCACAGTGGTTAGACTCTTGCCGACCATGCACATGGTCCGAGGTTCGATCCTCTGCCGACGCACACATGATATCAATGGTCGGCCTGCAAAATTTGGACAACCGATATCCATGCTGAAAATTCCACACTTGTACCAAAAATACGGTGTGGAATCAAGCTGTAACCAAAAATAAATAAAATAGTTTGAAGTTACGGCGCCTGACACGAAAATATAATACCTAAGCCCATAAGCCACATCTTCAAGCAAACAACTGAATAAAAGTCAGCTAGTACAAGTAGCCAAAGTAAGAGAAACCACCTCGATTGGGAAGAGCATGCTGCTTCCATAGACAAATAGATGTACTTACTGTACGTGTTTGCGTTTTATCAAAATAGCATATGACTTGTATAAAATGAATTTTCCATGCAAAAACATTCTTTTGTAAAGTGTCAATTATGGCGAAAAATATCTACATCCATTGTGTATAATACATTATAATGGATATCACAAAATTTTACTTTTTCAAAAGTGTACTGAACAAAAACTTACTTTAAACTCATTACGACCAATCGGATCATTCAAAAGATTATCGAAATCTTCTGCCCAAGATGCTGGATTTGAAGTAGAGCAGGGAGAAGAATCTACGACTCTAGATGGCTCAACATTTTCAATATCTTCAACTGTTGAACTAAAACAACCAATTTTTAAAGGCTGTTTATCGGTATCTGGTTTTGCCTAAGCGGAATGTTGGGAACAGAAACGTTTTACATCTTGGAAACAATATAAAACTATTGATGATTAGTAGGAGAAAGTTGTGTTAAAAAACTGATAAACCATTCTAACCATTTAGTCTGGATGGCATGCCATTTTCTTGGAAAGAGTATTGGTGTTGCGTTACTGCATAGTCCTTGGACAACCGCCCGAGGCAGGTCACACACGGACTGTCTGAAGTGATTTTCGAAGTTGTGTCCTTATTCATATCTTACCGACAGCTAGGGGCCACCGCAAAATCGGAATGCACGATTTTCGATATGGACACTCCCCAACCTCCATCCCCAGAGGTGGGAAGTACTATAGCTGGCTTGTTGATCCTGAAGGGAATGCCTTACTACTGCTACATTCCTATCCAACAGCAGTACAACTTCTCTCATAGACCCCCAACATAGTGTAAACGATTTACACTATAATGGTAACTGCGTTTGACGTAACCGCTATTCAAACAACCTGCAGGAACCTTAGTTCCAGCCGGTGTGGCTCGTCAAGTCATTGCAATATGCAAGCGTGACCACCACGTCATGATAGCATCTACCGATCAGGATTGTCAATACAGTGGAGATAAATTATTACAACACCTTTTATCAAACAACTTATAATAAGGAAGGAAAATCGTAAATATTTATGAAATAGCTACTGACCGACAAAACTAGTTTTCAAACTCAGGCATTACATATTAGGTTGTATAAACAACTAACTTTTTTCTAAAATATACACACTGAAACGACATTTATATGAGGACTATAGTAATTTCACTAATGAATTGCTAACTTAAAAAAGCATAAAAGCCCTATTCGTTTATAGCCATCTTCGTTGAAGTGGGATTATGTATGAAGGAAAATACAGCCAAACTAAGAAGTGGTGTTATTCCACGGATTTATTGGCCGGTATTCTAAGCTGAATCAAGAAATGCAAGCTAATTTCGACTTTCAGTGTGAATATCAAGTGTCTAAAATTTAGGTGGTACGTCGGTGGCACAGAGGCAGAATGCTCGCCAATTACACCTCATGTAGTCTGGGGTTCGATCCCCGACCGACTCACTCCTTTGCCTCGCTAAGCCAGTAATAAGACTGGTAAAGAGAGAAGATTGGGCATGAAGCAAGCGATCCCATCACGTAAAAATAAACACCACTGTTACCGAAACTTCAAAGCCCTATGTTCCACTGGGAATGTGAAGGAATAAAATAAAACTTAGGTGACTAATTTACGGAGTATGACATAACCAAACAATGTAAGTTTTGATTGACTGTTACTTTTAGATAATTCCACTAAACTGCAAACCATAGTTTGCAAAACCCTGTTAGATATGTATGGACAATGTTAAAGTTGTGTATAAAAACCTAGTGTTAAATATGATTATTGCACTTCAATCTAACTATATTATTTTAGGAAACGCACACTTACTATTTCGGAATTCTTTGGATTCATAATTTTTGAAGTTTGAGATGGTGTTTTAGGCTTCATGAATTTTGAGAATATGCTCACATTTGTTGGTTCAGGGAGAGATTTTCTGCACCGTTTAGGCTATAAATATGAACGTATATAAAACAACAAACGACTAATTAATTGTTAGAAAAAAGGGAACTGATTGAGATATCAAATGGTCATTCAACAAGTTTGCGATAATCAAAACTAAACAAAATCCTAGAATGGAAATCTAGACTGGTAGATTCGTTTGTTGGTATACTGAGATAAATCAATATCTGGAAATAAAACGAACCATGTACCTATTAGTGGAACAATTCAAAGAGTTTGTTCAGTACAACTAAAGAGGAAGTCAGGTACAGATATTGAGCCTATACTTGTCGGAACTCGTCAATGAAGTACTTTGGTATGAACTAACCTCAAACTTTTTTCAAGACCCGGTAGTAATTTATTTGTATGCTTTCAGTTACAAATGTTACTTCACCTTAGGTATATGAACTAATATAAGACTGGACCTCTTCTGAAAATTTACATTTACCAAGAACCGTTGTATGCGCTATAATCATCACTAGGGAGTAAAAACCTATATGAAAGTTGGTACACACACTCAAGTTTCTATATACCACTGTAACATTAAACCAGCAGTATTGGGATCGATCGTTTATTAAACTCGAAATATTATTATTATATCCTTTAATTCCTAGAGGAACATATGGCTTCAGCTGCGCACCTCCATTGCCTTCTGTTTTCCGACAACTTTTTAACCCCGCTCCAAGTCTTCCCACATGCTTTCATCTCCTCCTCACATAACCTCCTCCAAGTCACCCCCACACTGACGACCAACTCGCCGCCTCCCTTTCGGGTTCCACTCGAGGGCTTGTCTAGTGATGTCACTTGATGGTTTCTTCAGAGTATGGCCAACCAATCCATCTCCATTTCTTGCTGTCCATTTGTTTCACAATATGTTCCTGGTTGGTTCGCTCATTGCCAGAGATCCCTGTTGCCGATCTTTTCTGGCCGGCCATCTGATCTTGAGTATTGAGCGAAGACAACTGTTGATGAAGGCCTGAAGTTTGTCTGAGATGCTCTTTATGACTCGCCAAGTCTCTGATCCGTATAGTAGCACTGACTTTACATTGGAGTTGAAAATCCGGATCTTATTTTTGATGCTGAGTGCTGTTGACTTCCACACAGTTTTGAGAGTAATGAAAGCTTGCCTTGCTTTTCCGATTCTGGCTTTGATCTCCCCGTCAGTTCCGCCTGTAGTTGAAACGATGTTTCCCAGGTAGGTGAAGGAGGCTGTTTCTTTCAGGTTCCTCCCATTTATGCTGATTGTTGTCTGTTGTTGTTGTTGCTGTTGATGTTGGCCAGGAATCTTCATCATCTATGTTTTATCTATGTTCACCTGAAGTGAAGTAATATCTTTGATCCTTCTTCTGCCAACTTCTTGCTTTTTACTTGAATATCTTCTAGTTTGTGGGGAATCAGACATATATCATCGGCGAAGTCCAGATCCCCCCATTTTTTTGTGTGAGTCCATTTGTGCCTGTTTCCTCATTGCCTGTTGTCTGTCGCATTAACCAATCTACTGCAATCAGGAAAATCATTGGCGATAATAGACAGCCTTGCCTCACTGCCGTCCTCACTTGGAAGGCTTCCGTAAGGTTTCCCGTTGTGGATTACTTGGCATGCAGCATTGTCGTATAACTGTTGGACGAGATGTATAATTGTCGATGGGACCCCGTAGTAGCGAAGTAGCTGCCAAATCACTTCTCGATCGACGCTGTCGAAGGCTTTTTCAAAGTCGATGAAGTTGAGATAGAGAGGTGACTGCCATGATGAGTTCTCTTCCTGTGTTGTCTGGTCCCAGTTTGGCGTTCATGTCTCCCATTAGTATTTTAATGTCGCCAGCCGGAGTATTGTCCATTGTTGCCTGTAGTTGTCTGTAGAATTCTTCTTTCTTTTCGAGGTCTGCGTTGTTTGTGGGTGCATAACATTGCATAATTGACACTTTCCTTCCTCTGGAGTTGAATCTGGCGGTCATTATCCTGGACGAGATCACTTCCCATTGCATCAGGGCCTTTATTGCCGTTGGTGACATCATGATAGCCACGCCCTCGGTGTGTGTGTGTAGTTATCTTCTGGGTGGCCGGAGTAGATCACTGACTCACCCCGTTGACAATTTGGTGAGTCCACTCCCATTCCATCTGGATTCCGTATCTTTTCATCTCGTTTGTGATCTGGGCAGCTTTCCCAGTCTCGTACATAGTGCGGACGTTCCATGTCCCCACACAGACTTTTTCTTTTGGTGCAAAGAGGTTGTTCATGCTGAAGTTTCTGTAGCAATTTTTGTTTACAGGGTGGGGTTACCAGCCTCACGCCTGAGAAAGGAATGGTTACATTAAGATAAAGTTTAGAGAGAAGCGACCTTTTGGGTTGCTCCCTTAAAATCGGATAACAAGGGACAAAACGATCAGAACAACACCAACAAAAGGAAAACAATTCACAGCAAAAAGGGCAAATAGCGACAACAACGATACAATACAACAACATGCAATATAGTTCAGCATAGTTAACTAAAATGATACCAAAACCATAGACACACTGCCTTGGGACAACTTGAACATATAAATCCAACAATATATACAATTATATTAATATACAATTATAGATATGAGTTATTGTTAAAAGTCACAAAATGTCAAAAATTTCATTATAGGTATTAGTAGTCGATGACATTATATCCAGAGTTTAGGTGTTCGAAAGTAAACGGATTGCAATAATTTCCAGAACTTCGTGGTGAGCAGTAACAAAGAAATGAGGGATATAATTCAGCACCCGTGATACGTTTTCATTTCATCTGTGTTTACAAAAATCTGCAACCCTGGAAATTTATTTAACTTTCTCATATTAAATACTGTCACAGCGCTTCCAACAGAGCTTTGAGGTGTTTTGTAACCTGTCCGCAACACTGAGATGTAATTTTATACTATCCCAGTTGCTTTTTCCCATTTACCACGAAAATTCAGCACTTTTTCTGTTGTTGAACGTAGAAATTTTTCAGTGTGCAAATACCAAAGAGTTAAAAATCCTGCTGTCAATCAAACAACTGTCATACAAAGTATACCATCAGATAAATCTGACAATATGCATCTAGTGGTACTAGTTTCAGAATTCTTGATATCTGCACAGTAGTAATATATTCTGAGCTAACAAATGAGAAGTTTATAAACTTACTGATAATTAAGCGCACAGTGTAAAGTCAAATAACAATTTAGCTACACGGAACAAGCCACATCCCATATTTACTGTATAACGACTGGGGATATTAATTAGTTGCCCAGACTGAAGTAGATAGAAGCAAACTCAAGCTCGACACCCGTTGGCCTAAAGTTGAGTACCTAAGTCGGTAAGGCACATTTCTACAAGTGGGAAAGTTCGTGCATTACTCTGAATCGTCACAGATTATTTGCACCTGTCTGTCTGTCTGTTTTCGACATAGAACTTTGCACAAATGTGCGGAAGTTCAAGTCGCCACATTCCGTGTAGCACGCGAAGCAAGAGAAGAAAGTACAAGAAAAGCATAATAGAAACAGTGAGCAGAGGTGTGAGACAAAGGAGTAATAAAGAAATACAAAACAGTTTCATTGAAGATCATAAGTCACAGGGAGTGGATGCATCTGCGCCACTGAGAACGATTTTGAGCCATGTCACCAATTGTTTCCAACCATAGATTTTTACCGTCCCGAGGACCCCAGCCTGGAAGTCTACACCTTCCTACGTGGCTTAGACCAACTGTTGTGGATTTCATTGACTGATGCCAAGTTTTTGTTTGACCGCCGCTAGCTTTTTTCCAGCCTGACCCTATATCCGCTAACATTGCTCGTCGAGGGAGGCGATGGCTTGGCATACGTAACACATGTCCTAACCATCTCAGTCTTTGTAGCTTCACGACTTCGTCGATTGATTTCCCCTGTTTACCTAGAACTCTACGCCTAACCTCCATGTTGCTCACCTTATTATGCCACTTTACACGGGAAATAGAACGCAGGCACCTATGATCAAAGACAGCTAGTCTTTTCATGTCTTCCACTCTCAGTGGCCAGGTCTCACAACCATAAAGGAGGACGGAGCGGACTGATGAGCAGTACACCCGCCCTTTGGTCGATAGTCGAACATCTCGTCTACGCCAGAGTCGGCGTAAACTAACAAATGCGAAACGAGCCCCTTGTATTCGTGCTGAGATTTCGTCAGAGATCAGCCCGTTGGGGCTGATGGTACTTCCCAAATAAGTGAAGCGGTCAACGTGCTCTACCACTTCACTTCCTATTTTTAAACTAGGCGTCGATGTAGTCCAGTCCTGTAACATCATCTTGCATTTGGCGGGAGCGAATCGCATGCCAAACATTCGTAGATTGCGGCTCAAGGTGTTTAGAAGACTCTGCATTTCGTCAGCGTCTTCGCCTAGAAGGACTATATCGTCTGCATATTCCAAGTCAACGAGATTATTCCCGGTAGCAAGTCAATCCCTGAGTCGCTGAAGTCACCTAGGGTTAAGTCCATTAACACATCTATGATGAAGTTGAATAGAAAAGGAGATAATGGGCATCCTTGACGGACACCACTGGTCGTCATCAGTTCAGATGACAGCTCGCCGTAAGCCCTCACCTGGCTGTATGAGTACGAGTAGAGTGCCTTAATCAGTGCAATATATTTTCTTGGAATTCCCTTTACAGCCAAGCATCTCCAGAGAACTTCCCGATCGACAGAGTCGAATGCTGCCTTTAGGTCAAGAAATATAATGACTGTTGGACGCCGGTAGGAATGCCTATGTTCTAGAATCTGTCGGAGGGTGAAGATATGATCAATACACCCTCTTCCTGGTCTAAAGCCTGCCTGGCTCTCTCGTGTTTGTGCTTCCCGAGCACCACTCAGTCTACGCATGATTATTGAGCCTAAGACTTTAGATACTATATTAGTCAAGCTAATCCCTCTGTGATTATCACAGGAAGACTTGTCTCCCTTCTTGTATATGGGGATAATCAGTGACTTACACCAACCCGATGGGACTTCTTCTGATTCCCAGACGCTGCCTAGTACCTCAGTTAATCCGGACAGTAAGCTGTCTCCACCGTACTTAAATACCTCTGGCGTCATTCCATCAGGTCCCGCTGCTTTGCCTAGTTTCAGATTGGTGACAGCTTTAGTAACCTCAGTTAGTGACGGAGGACCTGTGTCTATATCCCATTCAGGGAGGTGTTGGATGCTCGGAAGGTTGAGCGTGGCTGTGGGCAAATTAAACTGCTCCTCATAATGCTCTTTCCAACGATCCAGTCGTCTATCCTGTGAGCTAATTATAGTGCCATTTTTTTCCGAGATTGTCTCACTAATGATTTGTCTTCTCCCACCCGTTTCCCTGATGAGTCCAAAGAGTTGCCTGGTGTTGCCTATCCTCAAAGCTTTCTCCATCTCTTTGGCTTTTGTCGCCCACCACTGTTCACGGTCCTTGCGGAGACTTTTCGTAAGTTTCCTCTTGTGCAGCTTTCGCTCCTCATTGAATTCGGAGCTCGCCGGAATAAGTCTTCTAGCATCTATCAGTTCGGATGAGGCGGTGGAGATCCAGTGGTTTTTACTCACCTTTGGGTTTACCTTATTCACAGCTTTTACAGCTGTATCTATGGCTGCCTGGATATTTTTCCAAGCTTCTTCAGGGTGAGCACAGCTGTCGAACACAGATATGTGTTTAGCTAGTTCTTCCTGAAATACGGATTTAGTTTCCTGATCGAGCTGGGGACGTGATGGTTTTACCGCCAGCTGTTTCCTACGTCCGTTCAGTCGTAAGCACACCCGAGCGCGGACCAGTGCATGGTCGGTATCTACGCACGTGTTCCAGAAGGAGCGACAATCTCCTACCGACCCACGCCAACGATAGCTTATTGCTATGTGGTCTATTTGTGTCCAGCGTTGGTTTGATGAAGGGGGTCTCCAAGTCAAACAGTGTCTCTCCTTGTGTTTGAAGTTAGTGCTTACAAGAAACAAATGATTATCAGAGCAGAACTGTAGGAGACGGTCACCGTTGTCGGTTCGCTGGCACGGAACTCCATAGGTGCCACCGACATCCTTCTCAGATTGACACAATTTCCCTACTTGAGCGTTAAAGTCACCAGCTAGAACGACTATGTCTGAGCGTTTAGCCTTTCCACCAAACTAGACAGCTTTTGGTAGAACTCATCCTTCGTTTCATCTGAACTGCAGTCAGTGGGGGCGTAGGCGGAGATTACGAAAAGGCATCGGCGAGTAGTGCAGTCCTTCCTCCTTCTTACTGATCCGTTCAGGCGGACAGCACACATTCGGCTATCTACCGGGATCCAGTCAAGCAATGTCTTTTCTGCCCTAGTACTCAAAGCTATCCCTACGCCAGCTAATCCTCGTGAACTAGCTGTGGCATCTCCTGACACCCTCAAGGTGAATTTTGCAGATTCAACCTGTTGGCCAGGTGGGGTTAGGTGAATAACCACACTTGGGTCTTGTATGCGTGTTTCTGAAACACAGCATACATCAATGGCTCGTGATGCCAGGGTCTTGGCTAGTGATGCTTGTTGTCCTATTTGGCAAAGTGTCCTAACATTAAGAGCTCCTATATGAAATTGGTGGCGCGGCTTTAAGAGGCTGTCGGTGGTGGTTTTTTGGCTTCCATCGTTTTTAGTGGACGCAGAGTGGAGAGGAAGTGGAGAGCTATCAAGTCGAGGAGTTGCATCAGTGGAAGGAAGGCAAGATGATAGAGATGAAGATGAAGACAAAGATGAGTGAGTAATAGAGAGGTTTCGTGTGCATTTCGGATTGTGAGGGCGATTGTTACTTCCCGGCTGCCCACACCGTGGAAGTTGGTTGCGTGACCGCAGAGCCCAGGGGACAACTGCTTGAGGCCGGTCACACGCGGCCTGTTTTTGTTCGTTCTTTTTTGTTTGGTGTGTCTCAGTAGCAGATTTATCACTCCCGCCCTGTGACACGGCAGCAGGAAGCGCGGTCGTTGTTAATCCGGGCCACGGCCGATCCGGCATGAAATTTTGTAATTTTGTATTGGACATGATGTTGGATTGGGTAGCTGCTTTTTGTTTAACCGCTATCCAAACAACCTGCCTGGCATGGTAGAACCTCAAGAGACATAAGTCTCAGCCAGTATAGCTTGATTAGGTCATTGCGGTGTTCAAGCCCGACCACCACGTCAAGGTAGCACCAAGAAAGTGTATTTAGATAAAAGCTTTTCTAACTAACTACTCAACTTCTAAGTGATTACTCATGGGTTGTCAAATGAGCAAATAACAGCCCAAAAGGTTTATCTGACTAAAATGCAAGGAAGTGTGGTTTACCGAAAAGCGTATATATGATGCTGAACTACTAGGGATACATTGAGAAGCATTGGTTTGGTAAACATAATCCGAATTCCAAAAATCTGTAGCTAGTGAATCAAAGCTTACCCCAAAATCCGTTACTGTAGTACTAGCTGGAACACAATTTAAATCAATACTTTGCTCTGTTTGCACACACGAATTTCGACGGTCCCCACTGTTTACTATGTTTTGTAAACCCGATTTTCCCAATAAGTTGTAAAGATGCGACAAAATGCCAGTGGTGCTGGACGGAAAATTACAGCACTCACCAGTCAAGAGATCATTTGAACAGTGTATTCCAAACGTTTCTGCGATTGTACTGTGGCCAGAGTGAGTCAAAAACTTTGACGGCAGCGTTCTGAAAACATGGCAGTTCATTGGCTTAATGTCATTTGTTTCGCCTTAGAAGAGAGTAATTGAATGAATCATGTTATAAACAATCAATTTAAATGTCACTGGACACAAAAGCAAATATAAAGACAGTGTGGTTTTATACTTGATGCTTAAAAAAGGAAATGAAGTAACCATAACTGACTCAGTTTTAACATACATCTTAGCACAGAAGTGAAACAGTTTAGACAAAAAAGGAGAAAAAAGAGGCTTAAAAGAACTATACTGGTGAGAAATGTGAGAGGAAATAAGAGCAGCACAGAAAAGCCTGATGGATTAGCTGATAAAGGGGATCAGAGAAAGTGAATGCATCTGGCCCTTTTTCCAACCTGATCCTGTGTCAGCTAAAAGCGTCCGTCGAGGAAGGCGATGGCTAGGCATATGTAACACGTCCTAGTCATCTCAGTCGATGTAGCTTCACAGCCCAACCGACTGACTTACCCTACTTACCTAACGCTCTACGCCTACCCTCAATATTACTCACCCTATCTCTGATCAAAGTCAGCTAGCCTTTTTCATATCTTCTACTTTCAATGACCAAGTCTCACGGTCATGAAGGAGGACAGAGCGAAGTGTTGCTCAATACACACGTCCTTTGATCGATAGTCATATCACGTCTACGCCAGAGATAACTTAAGTTGACAAACAGCACATGATCCTTTCGTACCCGTGTTGAGTTTTCATCAGCAACTAGTCCATTGCAGCTCATGCAACTTTCTAGATATGTGGCGTGGTCAGCACACTCTACTTCTTCACTCTCTACTTTCCCGCTAGGGGTAGGTATATTCCGGCCTTGCAGCAGCACCTTATACTTGACAGGAGTAAGTCACATGCCAAACATTCGAAGATCTCTGCTCAAGGTGTTCATAACACTCTGCATTTTGTAAGCGTCTTCATCTAGGATGGTAATATCATTCGCATACTTGAAGTCAACAAGGCAATCCCTAAGGTCAATTAGGGTCACTTTCTGTAAGTCCCTACACGTAGCCGTGGTCTACGAGCTCATCTTGTAAGATGACGATCCTGGGTTCTATTCCTGGTGGGGTCATGGGTACGTACTGCCAGACCCTCAGACAAGTAACTGACATTTATTTATATCCATTTATTTAATGGTTGCAGTATGAATATAAATGACAGGTCGTAACTGACGACAAGAAGTAATAATCTAGTGTAGTAGACAAATGTGCGACACAAATAGCCGTGTCACACTAGATTACACAGCCAACTTTTAATAAGTGAGTCAAGGTTTCAAAACTTACCTCAAGAGTGCATTACGGCTTGCAACAATACAAGATATTATGAAGGCAAATATACGGCAATCAACGAAAATACGCACATGACCATGGGAGATAAAAAGTGAGTAATACGATTCTAAATATCTTTTGAAATCAAGAAAACATTTATCTCTTTGGTCACACTAAATTCTGAGTATCCTAACTGAGGTTAGCGATACTTATATTGAATATCTTACAGATTCCCATTAAGTAGCTCACAAGAATAGAATGTAGTGCTTCGAATTTCGTTTGAAGAGGAAACACTGTCCGCATTAGTAGCACAAGAAATTGAAGTGAGCTGAAAAGAAACTCTAGTATTCACAACTACAAGTGGGTAGAATGATGTCAAAATACCTGTCTGTTCAGTTTGAGTCCTTTGTACTCTCATAATGCTTCAGTTGATGCACGTGAGAAGAGAACAAATCATTTTATAGCCTGGATCTAACATTGTCAATGGTATCAAATGATTTAATATCTGATATAATATTTAGTACCGTGATCAACACAAAGTAGTATAAAATCTAATATTGCATGTAATCTCCAGATTTAAAGAAAGCAAACAGCCTTTCTATTACTCAAGATCATTTCAGTACATATTACTTCATCATACTACTTAAATTTACCTTTTGACCGATTTCGAGCATCAGTCTGGAAGAAACTAATACACTAAGGCAACTAAGCTCTGGTAAGCACTTAGAAATAATTGGTATCTATCAAATCACTACTAATTACACTCAGTATTTATCAAGTGACGGACACATTCAATATTGTATTTTACGGTTATTAGCGACAGACATAGACAACAGAATACCGCGTGTAACATCACAAAGGGGCGTTAACTGTAGTTCGTGCACGATGGAATGCAGAGCTAAAATGAGAATTCCGATGACAGCCAATGGGCAGATATTAGATTGCGTATACTGTTTTCATTATTTTGACGCTTTAATGCAAATTTTCCGTGCACTTGAAAAGTACAAACAAGTCATGTACATTAATTGTTTTGCACTTTTACAGAATTGCCGCTTTAGATTAAAACTGCATTACGTACATTATTAATTGATCAGATTCTAAAATGCGATTGGACACTATTTTGAAAACGCACTCATTCGTTCAGAAGAGGGATTTAATATACAATTGGTGGATGGTGGCTAGCAGTGGAATCCAGGATGCGCATTTCGTCCTATTTGGGACTCGTCAGCTGAGACCGAGCACTTCGGTCTAATCAATCGACGGGAAAATCAAAAATTCAATTCAGGGATTTAATATGGTCAGCAACTATTATGGCTGTAACTATCACTTTAGATGTTGAGGAAGTATGATCTGTATGTGAATGATTTCTAACCACAAGTCACTGACACCTTTAAGGCGCATGAATATACTTCAATACTACTCGCAAGTTATACCTGTGTGACTAACCCTAAAGTTAAGAATGAGACTAGTTAGTCTCATTGACTTAAAACCGGTCATGACCATACAATTCAGTGGAAAAACCAAAACAGGTTTATTTCAACTGCGATTGGTTTTTTTAAAGTAACGCAGCATCAAAGCTTTACGGATATTTGTCACAAGCTTATCTATGAACTGTAGGCTTGAATTTCTGTCACTTTACATAGTGAGTCAAATAATTGCCTTATAAAAGAAGGTATGCACCGACAAGCACTTGAGGGCGATAATCAATTTTTGTCTCGATTAAATCTTCAGTTAACAGACGCAAGGCCGTCATAAAACATCAAGCGAAACACAATTTTTTCAGTTTTGCAAGTAATCGGACCTCACATACAAGGTAGTTACTAAACTAGTAAAACATTGGTATGTACTACTGGTCACACCTCCAAACCCACAAAAAAGAAAATATTAATAAAAAAGTGACGAAGATGTGTCTCATGGCGTCATACTTACTTTGTGACTCAGGAGTTTCTATTATTGGGTCGCTGATATGTTTTAATATGCTTCGTGTAACTACGTAGACGAACTTTTCATCAAAGTCAACAAGACCAGCAACGTACAAACAGCTAGCTGGATATTCTGCAGCGTATCCTTCGTACAAGCGAACTCGTAAAATGTTGTGTGAGACGCTGACTAAACACAAAGACCTTGCACTTGCATTTATTTTATTTACAAGTGAGTTGGTTTTCTTTCTCAAGATTGATAAATCTTTCGCGCACAACCTGAAATTCATAAGCACTGGCACACAGCCTGCGTATATAAAAACAGCGGAATTTCGACCAAAACTGGAAGATCTCTGTCTTAAGCCACTGACAAGACATCTATCGGGGGAACTAGGTTCCGGAGTGCTTGGTGTGTAAGTATTACTTTCAAGATCCGAAGACAGAACCTATCTAGTCATTAAAAAAAACCAGAAGACAAACCTCAATAATAAGGCTTTTGTGACACTTCCATATCAAGGAAGCCACATTTTCATGAGTCATATTAGTTACATCTTCACCATTAACTTTGAGGAGTCGGTCACCTATGCAAACGCCTGACTTTTCTGCAGAAGACCCACTCAAAACATGATCTATGTAACATGGGTATTCATTTCGTAGACGAAACCCGAAACCACTGGAAGACCTAGGCACTTCGATTCTTCTTAACATCAGACTTCATTCGTTTCGTTTACTTCGCACATTTGACCTAGAAAAGCAGAAAACCAAAACAAATGTTTCGGTGTCGACTCTCTCCGTTAAGGTGCACAATCGCATGAATGTGAGTTTCATTAATAATAACATAAAATTAGGGGAAAGATAACTGGTTGTATACTTAGCAAAACAGTCCATAAAATGGATATATCTGGAAGGAGTGTAGAAATGATAAGATTAGTGAGAATTCAAAACATTAGCGCACAGGGCGTTAATTAACTTAAGGAAACATTTTAGAAATTATATGAAAGGTGTTGCTGAGCAAACGTTTTCTGTACTCAAAGGTCCGGTTTTCTATTCTGAAGCCCAAAGCTTCAGTAGCACCGATGAGTCGCACTAGTGGTTGAAGCATGTTATTTTTCACCCAGTAGACAATTTCAAGAGTCGGCGATAGTCAATCCATCTCAACAGTGTCTTGCTTTGAAGCCATCCACGAGGTGAAATATCACCCGCCCAAATCACAATTTGTCCAACTTATCTAACTTATATATTACCGTATCACCAGTTTGATATTCATTTCGTATTGATATAGGTTAATAAAATTTAAAACATTGACCAAACTCATGTAATTTAAGTAATAGTTTATCTATGCCTATAAAGTTGGTATTTTTCTGCATAAACAGAAATAAAAGTATTATTACACAAGAAGTAAGAGTGCACTGCTTGATTATAGGACGCATCACATTAGGATGGTTAAATGTTATTAACCTATATCAATACGAAATAAGTCCAGACATATACGTGTAAATATCAAACTTCTAATATAGTAAATGTACATTTAGTCCTTTTCTAGTATATTGGTGTTTTTTGCTTTATAAAATGTATAAGTATTTAAGGTGAAATCAAGTACAATATTATTTCGACAGATAGATTAGTCCGAAGTGTATAATAGATATTTCAATGAAAAACGAATTAGATCATATGAAAAGTTCGAACTTGTATTACATACTAGCTTGTATCATTTCTGATGAATTTCTGTAGTGTCCCTGGGGTAGCATCTTGACATGTGGCTGAGCAGGGCGAAATCAGATTTTTAAAATTTAGATCTATAGAACCCTGTTTTATTAAGTTCGTAGAATCATGTCTCATTCTCGAGCTGTTGGAAACACATTTTACTGTCCTACAGACCGGAGATTCACAGTTGTGACCACCACCATACCTACTGATCAGTACGCGCCGTCCTCCCTCCTTTTTGGTGTTTGGCTCTGAGATATTTTGTGCGATAACTGTGGTTGTAACATTGCACTTCCTTCAACCCTTCCGAATCATACAGTATACTGCACATTGATAGCTTTCACGGTAAATGCCTCCCATCAGGTTACCATATACTTCGATACTGTCTGAGAGTGATACTCTTTGCAAGAACTTAGAGAAGGGCATCAGATTTATGCTCGGCAGTGTCGTCCAGAACAAGCCAAGTTTCACAGTCTCATAGCCGTAGATCCTGTTCCCCTCACAGACATATCATAATGTGGACGTATAGCACGGTTGAACACTTTACACTCCTGGCCTGTCACGCACATTGTTCTAGGAAACCTATTCGTTATGCTGCCTGGGTGACTTTGAGTTAGTTTCCAGCTGGTTTCGACTAGAAATAACGCCCACGATTCCCGGGTGGCCATGAATCTTTCTAGTCCTGGGCTCTAAGCACATTATCTGCCGACTCTTTAGCCTGGCCGAGCTAACCCGGTAGCCAGACTGCCCCTAACACTGCCCCAACTAGTGGAAGGAGAAATGTAGCACTCACGATTGCTGAATGATGTACTTGTTGACGATGAATTGAAGAGTATACGAGTAGACAGTAATAACACATCCATTGAAAACTGTTTTGACCACCTTGTGTTTCAATCCCCATGGATAAATAAATTGACTGTTGACGGTAAAACGGTTGAGGTTCATTTGAGTCGTCGAATTTCTGCGGTCCAATTCGGAGACATGTATTTAAATGTCCGTGGCCTACAAATCCAGCTAAATTGTTTCGTCTTCTGTTTCTTGTGTTTAGTGACCGACACTGACGTCTCTCAATCTTTTGATTTAATAATGGCGTGGGAGCCAACTCTTCTGAACTGACTGTTATGAAGTTCAGATTCTGTTATTTGGTTCATACACCTGTCAATTTTGTGAATATTAGTCCCTGAGGCAAGTTGTTAACTTCTGAATTATTGTCCTGAAGGTTTCTTCTAAGGAGCCCTGACTTTGTGGACAAAATGGTCGACGCATTCCTCATATTCATGGAACCGAGACCACATGGATTAATAAGCACAGGGTGTGTCAATGTAATTGAAGACCGAGAGATCAATTCATGGTTGTTTGCTCAAACCCAACGCCCCCATATTTTTCGTGGGTGCCATCAATACGCCAGTCATCGTCCCATCGTTCGCTGTTCAGGGGAAGATTAAAAACTATTAGAATTATTATCGTGATTTATTGTTATAACATTTATTCTCAAACCTTGTGTATAATAACCTTATTGTCGTTTACGCATTGAAGTAAGAATAAATGATTCTCGAGTCACCAATCTGTGTTCTGGTTTTCGCGTTGGTTAAAACAATGTGTTTCTGAAAGTCTTTGAGGGACAGCGTGAGGTCCAGCGTAGTAAGAGCTGAACATTGACATTTTCTGAGAGTTGGCTGACAGTTTCTGATAGTTTCTGTTTGTCTTTCCTCGTGCCTGCCCGTCTTCTTTGGACAAGTGTTATCTGGAACTTTTCTGGATTTTTCGGTCAAGTACAGTAATGCCTGAGTCAAAGAAGTGAAAAAGTGTCTTGGAAGCAGACATGAAAGTAAGTAATAATGAGTTGCGTGTTAATTATAATCATATGCATGATGCTCAGCAAGATGAGTCTGATGTTCACGCTTCGCCATTTAGGGATGGTAAAGGTTTAAAGTTACCTAAATTCGAGCGTTGGTACTTCGATGGAAACCCAACCGAATATCCACAGTTTATCAAAGAGTTTGAAATCACGCTGAGTGGTTTTTTATTAAACGATGAAATGAAGTACTGCACTTGTATTGCTGCAAGAGCTATAGAGTGCTGCAAGTTCATGTCCCCAAACAAGGGATACTCTGAGGCTATGAGCATACTGCGTCAAAGATTCGGAAGACCTTCAATGATTGCAAGGAACGTATTCGAGGCTGTTAAAGGTAATGGTAGTCGATTACGAGATGACTTCAAGGCACTATCTGAGTTTTTGATAATCTGATGACTTACAAGAATACGTTGATTTCGATGAATTGCATGAGCGATCTGAACTCAAGTTCAGTCCTAGAGGTGATAGCAAGACGCCTACCTACTCGACTGCAAAGGAAGTGGGTGAAGATAAGCTCTCGTGTGGAGGATGAAGGTATTGAGCCAAAGTTCGATGGTACTCTGAAACTGGTTAAATATAGTGTGAATCAAGCTATGAGCAAGTTTGCCAGTATATTGCATCTCACTCCTAGAACAGAGAAGTCTGAGGGCAAAACGCAATCATTTATAACGAAAGGGTCTCAGCGAAGTGGATGTCGAGAAAGCCTTATGGTGTCTAGTAATCCATATAAACTTAGTGACAGTAAAAGCCTTCGTGAGACATCCCCAACAGATAGGATACAAGTTGCAAGACAAACACGACTGTGTTTCGCACGTTTGCGAGAAGTGCATACAAAGGCGAATTGTGAATCAGTGACCAAGTTTAGTGGTAAGCTAAATGTGAAATCAGAGTCATTTAGGTCTGAATCAAATTTGTGTGACGATAATGGTGCGATGAATAAGCCTGTATTTGCAACTGGTAAACCATTTGTCAGTAAAGTATCATGAACTGTCGACTTCCAGCTCTTGCTACGCTGGACCTAACGGTGGCCCTCGAAGACTTTCAGAAACGCTTTGTATTAACCAACGCGAAAACCAAAACACTGACTGGCAACACAAGAATTCTTTGTTCTTACGCCAACATGTATCCAACGAAGAAGGTCTAAGAACAAATGTTATAACAATAAATCACGATATTACTTCTGATAGCTTTCAATCTTCATTCTGAACACCGATGTGACGATGACTGTCGGATTGATTACCCGCGAAAATTATGGGGAAGTTGGGTTTGAGCAAACAACCATGAATTGATCGTTCATTCTTCAACTACATTGACATCCCTGGCAAAAACGGATCCATTCTTTTTCTCCATCACGACCAATACACGTTGACCTGGATGCCAGTGCGAGAACCTGGGTCACACAGACAAAGCTGAAATGGAAAACATACAGCGAAGCCAACACACCACAGGCATACCCACAGCACAATCTCACTCCTCGGCGAAGACCTACGCTTTCCAGTTAAAGGCATCCTTCCGACATCTTGTAACACAATCGCGACTTGGTAGGATAACTCTTGCAGAAAGATACGTAACCATAGCAGCACCTCATGATACCTTTCACACATCCTCTTATCTATTCACTATCAATTACCACTGCAATCGCTTGTCACTCATTCTGCCTCTGTTCTAGTAACGGTGACGTGTGCAAGCCTCAGTCGTCTTCACTCTCGCTCCCCGAGGTGTAGGACCACGGATAATCCTTATCTCCGTGTGCATGTCATTCTCAGCACTAGCCTCCCCGGAGCATACGACCCATCCCCTGTCTTTAACGTCAGTCAATTCATTCACGAATGTAGAAGACTCGAAACAACTTCAAAAGTAAGCACAAGAAAAATTTTAACAAAATTATGCATAACAACAAGATACGAAAACAACAATTAAACACAGTGAATCCAAAAACACCAATTGATATGACACACCAAACGTATATACAAACAGTACACATAACCTCACGGATCATTCCTTGGTAGAATTCCTTTGAAGAATTGCAGGACTTACACCAGTACGCCTGCAACCCTTCTCAGGTTGATGATTGTAAGTTGAAGAATTTCCGGACACAAACAAGATTAACCAACAATTACATTAGTTGAAACCCACTTAATTACTTAACACAAATATATCGACAATCAATACATCAAATGTTGTGGATTCTGCCTTGAGGAACTACACTTGAATCAAGAATTGCAAGCTAATTTCGACTTTCAGTGTGAATATCAAGTGTCTAAAATTTAGGTGGTACGTCGGTGGCACAGAGGCAGAATGCTCGCCAATTACACCTCATGTAGTCTGGGGTTCGATCCCCGACCGACTCACTCCTTTGCCTCGCTAAGCCAGTAATAAGACTGGTAAAGAGAGAAGATTGGGCATGAAGCA